ACAATAATCAAAAAGACTATAATGACATTGGTAGAAACCAATAACTTGTTCAACAGCAAAATATATCGTTTAAGAAAATGTTTATCTTGTGCAACAAATCTGCCTATTACAAGAGAAGAATAGATAGAGGCTCTAAACAATGGAAAACCAGTGAATGTTTTTAACAGGGATTTCAGGAAATCATTCTATAATTTGCCAACAACTAAACTGTTTTTGACACTGGAAAGTCTTGACACTGCCGGACCTCTCCTAAAATGGCTTAAGGATTTCTTGGTAGATCGTAAAAGGAGAGAAAGAGTGAATTCGAAGTGCTTTAACTGGAGACGAGTACATATTAGAACACCACAAAGTTCTATCGTGAGTCTTTTAATTTTTCAAGGTTGTGCAAATGAATTTCCACGTATGGTTGAGTTCCAGCGCCTGTTGTCGTTGGGATATCTTAGCTCAGTTTTGCTGACGAAACTGAAGGCTATAACGGCGTGATCGCTTTTCCCAGGGAAGCCAGAATTGAGAGGTTGTTAACTAGAAATTACTCGTTTGTAAAAACACAGTCTAAGCGCGACGATAGTCTGACTGTTTCCCCAACGAGTTGCCAACTTCACATTTTCTTGTAGTCCCAAATCCTCACTGAGGTTGAAGAACCGAGCTTCGACTGAATTTCCACCTCCAATATACGTATGTTCCGCGAAGTTGACTCTAGGGAGATTGAAGTCCCCTAGAGTCAGGATATGAATGAAGCCGAGACGCATGGAGCGGGATAGTTCTTCCAGCATGCGACTGTCATACTCGATGTCGGCAGTGAGCTTCCTATAGATGATCCCGACTAGTCACTTTGAAGTAGTAGACAATCTTGCAAAGCACCATGTGAATTCATCAAGATTGTTAGACTAATGGTTGTGAACTTGGTGTGCCTCCAAGCCAGATCGTATGTATAGGGCTACTCCACCCTCAATTCCTGTTTTTCTGTAGTTGCGAGAAAGAGGCATCCCAGGTATAAATAGCTCCTGTTGAACCTTATTAGCATTGCTATGTTTACGTAGCTCATCCATTTTGTTTGGTTGACTCGCAGCGTTCATGTATAAGCAGTTAATGCTTTCAATTTGAAACGCGTGAGCTTCTTCCTGTTTGTCTGTGAGAGCCTTACGTGAATGGACAAGTAACCCACCTATATAAGTTTTGCCGAATTGGTAGGCCCTTTCCTTTACAGTTTTTTTATCTCCAAGACAGTCCACAAGTGGAATGGTCAGCTCCAGCTTGCTTTTGTGCTTGATCCTGGCGTCATATGGCCTGTCCGGGTGCACATGGATTCCAGTTGGCAACCGACGTCTGTTGGCAGGAAATACTTCCAGAGTTGCAGCCGCCATATGGGAGGGTGGAAAGTTATCCTCATTAGTCGGGGTCTAGAATCACCGTCCTTCTTGGCTAGTCTCATCACATGTTGAGTCAGTATGTTTTTGAGCCTCAACGACTGTTTGATGAACTTCCATTCCCTGATATCAGAGTTTGCTTGATCAGGGTTCATGTTTTCCGGTACACCTTGCACGATGATAATTCTTCTGCGGAAAAACTTCTCTTGAGATTCTATAGGGATGTTTCGAATGAGATTGCGCTCAGAATACGGTATGTCGACAATATTCTGACGTTCCCATCGGATTTCAGTAGATGACTAGCTAGCAGGACATCCTCTACTTCGGTAGCATTCTCGAGTGTTATACGAATGCTTAGATTCCTTTCCCCGAGTGAGCCGTATGACCGTCAAAGGCTCTATTCTAGGAAGTTCAAGCTTTTTGTTCAATTCACCCCAGAGTATCCTGTCATTTTTGTCCTGAAAACTGGGAGAAAGGTCAGGGTTGTCTTTGAGGTTCGTGATTATGAGAGAGTCATCACGAACCGTTATTGTTTTCCCAGGTTTTCCGGTGCGCTTAGGTTCAGCACCTTGTTGTTTGGAGGTCGAAGCACGTTTCTGAATCCCAGGCTCTTTGGTGACAGGACGAACATTCTTGGGGGTAGACTGTGCGATCAAATCACCAGTTAATTTCCGTACAACACTTGGGAACTTCAGCTTAGGCGGTGACGCCTGGTCCTGTTTAGCTCTGTCAACGTGGGGCCAATCACCTACAGAGTTTTTGCGAACCACTGTTGCGTTTAAGGACCCTGTACTGGGAGATCCAAGTTTAGTGAGGGAGTCTGTTACCGTCGACGTAATGATGGTGCTGAGTTTCAACATGTCATCATTAGTGCTAATGCATGTTCCATCGACGGTAGACTTATCTACATCCCTATTCTTATTTTCGTTGCGCGCCCTTGCTTGTCTACCTGTTTTATGACTGTCTTTTTCCAAGTTTGCTGACAATTTTTTCCGCAGACCTGTCAATAGGACAATGATGTTACTCAGCAAAACTACAGCATCCGTGCTGCATGCAACACATATCCACTTATGATCCGGCTGAGTTCGTTGTAGCTGTGAGATCTGTGCACGTTTCGTGGAACCAACCTTTGCAGTTGTCGCAGTGCATGCTAGATTCAAAAGCAAAACGGCATCCAGTTCGTTTGCATGAATTTTTCATTACTATATTGACGTAAACTGTATTATAGATGCTAGCAAAAGCCTATGACCTTTAAAATACACTAAAAAGCACACTAAAAAAAGGCAAAAATGGATAAAGACAGATGAGATAACCTGAACTAGCTTTTACGTGAAAAGCTAAAAAAAACGAATAGTAAGCTGAGGCAAAACCACAGTTAACTATTAAATTGGGTGAAACTTAAAAAAAGTAATCTACCGAACTTTTAGCTCAGAATAGATTGTTTAGATCAGAAATGGTACTTTTGTTGCGTAAGAACACAGTAAAAGTTTGAGAAATGCAAACCACGTTAGGACTAGACTTCCCGTTCGGACAGTCGCATGCATTCAACAGATACTTAAAACTTGAAATACCTTGGAAGTAAGTATGTTCGTTCAGGGAGCTTGAAATCAGTAAAGTTGGTAGTTACCATGTCATCGGGAAAACAGAAAACATAATATCCACATAAATTAACAAAGTAAATGACTCTAAACTGGTATCTGAACAATGTGATTGTGAAGGCGTGTTGCATTGGATAATTTTTCTATCTTGTGACATACATGTGCTCGCTATAAAACTACAAGTTGCGATCGTTAATTTTTTCACTTGAGAATGAAACGAATTCGATGATGAGACATCATAAGCATCTCTAATCATTTTTGTAACGCTTGGAGAAACCTATTTTGACTCAGCTCTAAAACAAGTTGGAAGTTTCGTGTAGCAGATGGAATTGTAGTCGTACTGCTGCTCCTTGGAAATGACCATGTCTTAGAATACACTAACATCTGAGGTAAAAATCCATGTTTTCAACATACTGTTTAACACTAACATTCTGTATATTGTTTTTTCGATTGTCTGCGTATACCTGGAAGAGATGAGGAGGTCATTGACCACTACTCAGGGTATGATGATTGATAAATTGAGCGGCGAACCTTCAAGTTACCGACCGGTGGCTCTTCTTTCTATGGTATACATGACTATTTACTGTCCTTAAATTTCTTCTCACCCCAACAGCATGGTTTCAGGAAGGGTTACTCTTGTATAACCAACCTGCTGACTGCAGTGGACAGATAGAAAAGCATCCTCGATTGCAAGGGGAAGGTTGATATCATTTACCTTGATTTCTCTAAAGCTTTTGATAGGGTTAACCACACATGTCTTATTGACAAGCTCAAACGATTAGGTATCAGACAACCTCTAATTGATTGGCTCATTTAATATCTTAAAAATCGACATTTTAAGGTGAGAGTTAACTTCACTTTACCTCAGGCTATGGAACGTCCTATAGGGGTGCCTGCAGGGCTCAGTACTAAGGCCTCTTCTCTTCTTGATTTATATAGACGATCTGCCTCAACAGGTATCTTCAGACTTATTACTTTTTGATGATGATGTGAAACTTTAGAGAGAGATACGCAACCAGGAGGACATACAGGCTATTCAGGAAGATCTGACTCGACTTAAAAGTTGGGCAGATTTAGGAATTCTGGTACCCTACGATTTAAAGCTTTACGATAACTGTGACAAAAACGTCTTTCGAGCAGACCTCGCACTGATAACATTGAAGCGCATTTTTGGCCAGTTTGACGGGATAACTTTCCACATAATCTTCAACAGTTTCATTCGTCCCCATTTAGAGTACGGAAACATAGTATCGCCTCCTACACTGCAAAAGGATAAGGACACTCTGGAGCGTATCCAACGGCGAGCCACGAAATCAGGTCGTGGACTCTAATTTAGACCTTATGAAGAGCGCCTTCAATCACTCAACCTTTACCCATCGGAGTATAGGCGTCTTAGAGGTGACCCTCCAATGACTTATAGTATCCTTAACACTTCTGGACATCCTCTTAAACCCCTACTTAGGCTTAGTCCCAATACTAACCTAAGGGGTAACACCCAGAAATTAGAGATACAACATAGTAGAACGGACTGCAGGCACAACTTCTACTCCTTAAGAGTTGTCAAGTGCTGGAATTCGCTGTCAGCTGAGCTAGTCCAAGCAACTTCCCAGGTGTTCTTTAAGAGGCGACTTGATCTATTCTTAGGGACTAAGGATAGTATCTTACTATGATTTACCAATTTATTTTTTTTCTCTTTTATCGTTAACAAACCTAGGTTCTTGCCTGGAGGTATTGGTGATCCCCTGCTACTAGGCACGGAAGCCTGTTAAGCGAAAGCTTCTTCTATTCCTTCCACAACCATTTGAACCATTTGAACGTCACCGGAGGTTGTCGATATTCCGGATGCTTCTGACTTACATTAAATTACAAAACAGTAATAAATCAATAATGGCGTGTCACACAAATAGTGAATATTGAGTGACCACCTTTCTAGACGTTTAAATACTCGGCATAAATCTTTTTGATTCTTTTAATATCCCACTTTTTTGTTCGATGACCTTGCATCTTCGGCAACTTTTTGTATATCATGAGAAAGGTGTGTCGTTCTGACGATCTTCGCGAGAAGTATTTGGAGAAAAATAACAAACAAAGCAGCATCTAGAGTACGTTTTTGCATTCAGGACATTATCAAACTGCATGTAACTGGGAGGATGAGAAAAACAGGACGAAAGACTTTTACGATGATGAGACTTCCACGTTTTTCTGGTATTTCATTCATGTGGTTGATGTTTCTTATGATTAAGGAATACTCATACTGTGTTGTGTTTGTTCATATTTGCATGTATTCTTATCTACGTTGCCTTGCTAGAAAATGGCAATTATTCTTCCGAATACAATATGAAGCGGTAAGTTGATTCAAAAGAAGTGATTTCTGTTAAAGTGGTATTAGTGCGGTTATCATGGTGTTTCTCTTGTTTGGAGTTTTACACACACCAGATGGCCCGTTTCTCCGACCACATCCTGGTGAGTTAATTTTTTGACTGTTTTCATTTGTAGACATTCGTTTCACATTACTTGTCAAACCTGTCTGAATCCAAACTAACATATGATGTGTTGTATTTTCTTCAAAATATGTAGTATTTGATTGGACTACATAATGTGTTTGAGTGGATGTAGTCATTAAGTATTAATCATCTTTGTGTCTAAAACCGACTAGTGTAATCTTGTTAATGCAGATATCCTTAAGCAAATCGAACACCTCATATACCTACGATAACATTTAATTAGCTAGCTGGTGCTTGGTATTCAGAATAAGTGTCTCATTAATAACCTTTTTTGGTACGGTTCACTGGGAACAAAAGGAAAATTTGCCAGTTCTCATTATTGTACATCTCGTGTATCATTTTTATGAAAACAAGTAGGGATTACATATGTTCATTCATATTACGTCACTTCTCTGTTATGTAGCAAGAGATTCTTATGGATCATAAGTATTTCAAACAGTTCATAAAGTATAACTTGGAAGGTTACTCAGAGTTATGATGAATGTCATCACTTCTTGAGAGACGTAATCGAAATCACCCTCGATTCCGGTTCAGTAGTGTATCAACCTAACCGGGGAAATGGCACCTCTGTAACATAACATTCCGGTTTGGGTCTACATGTAGCTGTCATCTTTATTTCCCTAATATATGTGAAATTGATCTGCTAACGAAATGTAATCGATTGGCTCCCGACCGTTGTTGCTACCTTGATGTGGTGGTCGGGCTTGCCTATTGTGATGAAGCAACTGAGCTATACTGGCTGGAACAACCGTTCCTCAAGGTCCTACCATGCCAGACAGGTCGGTTGAAGAGCGGTAAGACTAAAAGCAGCAAAACCAAGGTCCGAAGGCGAAGTCGTACTGTTGACTGTACAGAGGTGTGACGGCAGTAAGGTGTTTCCCTCAGACAACCAGCATAACAGCGATGCTGCCTTCCCACAAGGAGGAGTGGGGTTAGAAAATGTCGACCCTAAAAATGCAGATCTCGCTTTATCCCACGGATATCCGTCTCCGGCGGTAAGGTCTCAACAAGTACGGAGCCCACACAAAAACTATTCATAAAAAGGTCGTGTGACTGACCTCAAGCAGCTGTCTCTTGGGCACTGCGGTCACGCTCTCAGCTCACTAAGACCAATTTCCTTTTCAGGTACCTCCAGAAGGACCCTTCCACGTTGTGGGCATCCGGGAAGTGGTAATCGCCCTCATAACTCTAACAGCACTCAAGACCATTGTATTCATAATTAACTTCCCTCTTCAATTCCTATTATTCCTCCCCCTACATCGACTTCCGAATCTCAGCTTCCTCTTTTGGTTTCCTCCTCAAGTGCCACCATGGCCAACGATTCTAGCGCGCAAAACACTGTCCCAGGTCTACTGAAACCTCGCTCCAAACTATACATTGGAGTCTTCAACGTACACACACTATGTCAAATCGGTCAGCAGGCTTCCTTAGCTAAAACTCTAAAATCTCGTACGATTGATGTATGCTGTGTCTCTGAAGCACGCATACAGGATCCTAGTGTAGTCATTCACTTGACCTCACCTCGGCAAAACGGAGAGCCGACGAGATACACCCTCCGTGTATCTGGTGACACGATGGCTAGTTCTCGTGGACTAGCAGGTGTAGGCATAGCACTAAGCATGAGGGCGGAACAAGCGCTATTAGAGTGGATCCCCGTTAATAGTCGTCTATGCGCTGTTCGGCTAAACGGCTCCGTAAGAGCTCGGAAGGATAGGGACACGTCGTTGCCTTTTCGTCGTTTCTCCCTACGCTCCCACTGACTGCAGCTCGGATGAAGTGAAAGATGGATTTTACAGAAAACTCTCTGAACTTCTTCAAAAAGCTAAACGTTCAGACATAGTACTCATAGAAAGTAACTTTAATGCCCAGGTAGGTAGCTTAAACGAAACAGAAAGACATTTAGGTGGGTATTTTAGTATTCCGGCACAGTGAACAGATAATGGTGATCATCTGCTGCAACTGTGCTCAGACAATCGTTTATTTTTAGCAAACACAAATTTTAAACATAAGGAGAGACACCGTCTAACATGGCGACCCCCTGCACCAAACCAACGATGGACTCAAATAGACCATATTGCCATCAGTCTTCGTTGGAGAGGGTCGGTAGAAGATTGTCGCTCATTCTGGAGTACCTGCTTGGACTCCGACCATGCCCTAATACGAGCACGCATCTGCTTGCGCCTCACTGGACACAAAAAAAGCCACATTAAAAAGATCCATTAGAATTGAATTCAGTGATGAGAAAACCAAAAGTAGGTTCCAGGAACAACTGAGGTCACACCCAGATGTTGCTTGGAAAGATATACAATCAGCTGTGGAAGCAGCAGTGACATCAATTAGTAATTTAAACCACAGGGTTACAAAGAACCAATGGATTTCTTCAAGGTCTATTGCACTGATAGATTCTCGTAAACTCATCCCATCAGGTTTTGAACACGATGAAGAGCGTAAGCAAATCAGATCTAGGTTAAGCAAAAGTCTAAGGAACGATCGTGAGCAGTGGTGGGCAACGAAAGCAAAAGAGATGGAAAGGCGGCGGTTATAAGTAACACCAGACAGCTTTTCAGACTCATAAAAGAAATTAGAACTAAAAAGTCAGGTGTAAGTCAGACTAACTCGGAAAAAAACGACGCTCATCTGTTCCCAGTCCAGACGTTTAGAACGATGTGCGGAACACTTTAAGGAGAAGTTCAGCTGGCCTTCAGCTACTCTATAACTACCCACCATTCCCAGATAGTGTGAATGGAACATTAAAGTAGGTCCTCCATCTCTAGATAAAGTTCAAAAGGCTATAGTTAATCTGAGACGAGGAAGGGCAGCTGGTCCAGATGGATTGGCTCCAGAGGTCTTTAAGGATGGTGGTCCAATTTTAGCGATTAGGTTGACTAATATTTTAGATAAAATCTAGGAGTTAGACGTAATCCCATCTAACTGGTCACAATCACTTATCGTCCCAATATTTAAGAGAGGGTCAAAATAATCCTGTGACAACCATAGAGGGATTAGTTTGACTAAAATAGCATCTAAAATACTAGCCTCGATAATTATCGGACGCCTAAGACTCGTGAACTGCAAATACGAGAGAATCAAGCTGGCTTCAGACCTGGTCGTGGATGCATAGACCACATATTCACCATTCGTCAGGTTCTAGAACACAGGCATACTTATCGGCGTCCGACAATGGTGGTATTCCTTGACTTAAAAGCAGCATTTGACTCTGTAGACCGGGAGGTTCTGTGGCAATGTCTGTCATTGAAAGGCGTACCTCAGAAGTTCATAAACATTGTGAAGGCTCTTTACTCGAACACTACTAGTCGAGTCAGAGCTTATGGCGAATTGTCATCTGCTTTTGCGACCTCAAGTGGTGTCCGTCAAGGCTGTCCACTTTCTCCATTTTTGTTTAACTTCATCGTAGATCTACTGATGGAAATAACGCTCTCATCGACCGAATTCTCGGGCATTGATCTCCTACCCGTAGGTCCGCATATCGACTTAGAATACGCAGATGATATAGTCCTGTTTGGTGAAGACGCTGATAAAATACAGAGTCTTTTGGTAGCACTGAGCAACAATGCAAGAATGTTTGAGATGCTCTTCTCTCCCTTCAAATGCAAGTTGTTGTTTCAGGACTGGTCTGCGTCAACACCTGAACTAATGATAGGGAGTGAAGTAGTCGGACGCGTCGACAACTTCACTTATCTTGGACGTCTTATCAGCCCTAATGGGTTGGTGTCTGACGAAATCTCAGCACGGATTCGAAAAGCTCGTTTGGCCTTTGCCAAATTACGTCACCTATGGCGCAGGCGAGATATCCTTCTATCAATAAAAGGACGAATATACTGTCTTCTCATTGTTCTATCGGAACATACAGTTGTTTGTTGACCAGGTATATGTAACATTGGTACACAGGATCTCGTCTAATTTCGTAAATATATACTGCAGTGGTGTAGTATCTAGATAGTGTCCTGACCGTTGTTGCTACCTTGATGTGGTGGTCGGGCTTGCCTATCGTGATGAAGCAACTGAGCTATACTGGCTGGAACAACCGTTCCTCAAGGTCCTACCATGCCAGACAGGTCGGTTGAAGAGCGGTAAGACTAAAAGCAGCAAAACCAAGGTCCGAAGGCGAAGTCGTACTGTTGACTGTACAGAGGTGTGATGGCAGTAAGGTGTTTCCCTCAGACAACCAGCATAACAGCGATGCTGCCTTCCCACAAGGAGGAGTGGGGTTAGAAAATGTCGACCCTAAAAATGCAGATCTCGCTTTATCCCACGGATATCCGTCTCCGGCGGTAAGGTCTCAACAAGTACGGAGCCCACACAAAAACTATTCATAAAAAGGTCGTGTGACTGACCTCAAGCAGCTGTCTCTTGGGCACTGCGGTCACGCTCTCAGCTCACTAAGACCAATTTCCTTTTCAGGTACCTCCAGAAGGACCCTTCCACGTTGTGGGCATCCGGGAAGTGGTAATCGCCCTCATAACTCTAACAGCACTCAAGACCACTGTATTCATAATCAAACTGACTGACTGACTGATCTAGATAGTGTAAAGTCTCTATTAATGACGACTTGATATACAAATGAGAAGCATGCACACCATTCTATGGGTTATGCCTCAACACATTTTAGAAGCACATGGTATGCTTTTCAAATACTTTTAAATGAAATTAAAAAAACGGAAGTACAGTGGTAAACTAGTTTAAAATTACACAATCATATTGAGTAAATTTTCTGCCACGATTTGAACTCATTTTAAGCCATAACTTTCAGGTCGCTCGGTAATACTGTACATCTATAACACGAGCAAGCATCAAACACTTCTGTACATAACATCAAGAAGTGATCAAACGAGATAAACATACACTCTATTTCGCCCTTATCGATTCCGATTTTTTCCCCAATCTTTTGTATCAGTCAGTTTTTAAAGCTGTGGAAGGTGGTAAGTAAAAATTCATTTCATGACTTATGGACCTCTCTTTGTGGGTTCAAAGCTTCGTATACTAATTATAATTGAGTTCATCTTACTCAACCTGGTAGTCCTAGCGCATAAATATTTCGTAAAATTTGTGCTTAAATATCTGGGACTTAACACTAACTTTCAAAGACACCAAATAATACAGTGAGCATAATATGCAGTCACTGTCCATCGATAGGCATAACCCCGTCATTGGTAATTTATTAACATTTAGTGGGTTTTCATTATTAAGGGTTCGTTGTGGCCTTTTCACTAGCGGCAAGTGCTAGAAAGATGTTATCACTATCACAGACAACTGTTATTCGGTTGACAAGTAACCAAAGCCTAACCAGGTATAAATTTGGCCTTTCAGATTGTTATCTTCACTTTCAAATATTTTTCCCGTTTTCTAATTATTATTCTCGGCGATAATCCTGCTTATCTTCTTTTTCACTTTCCGTAATTAAATGGGCACATGGATGGCGTTTTCAAATAGATATTCGAGTGTATCACAAAACCAGTGAAATTTAGAAGAGTTTTGATGATGGGGAATAATATCTTTGGAACCAGATAGTATCATCAGCCCCCACATAACGTGTGGCTAAAAGCCGAGCACATGAATCTGCACTTAGTATATAACATATAGCTGGAGTAACCGCTTTTGATATTTTCAGCTTCTTTCAGATGAATCTTAGCAAATACTCATTTAACGTTTTACAAACGATAATAAAGCACTGACCCTTCTGCTAATAGTCATTTGTAATTCAAAACTCTCCAAGTTTCGACACTTGTTAAACACCCTTCGGTGTCTAAAATGACCTAGACACATTGGTTTCCGACAGCTAACTAATTATTGCTTGTTCACTGGTGAGTTTTCGTTCATATAATTATCAAAATAGGATATAAGATTCTTGTGGAGATTCTGTGTTGTTTAAGACGTGTCTAAATTGATTCCAAACTCTGAAATTAAAACATGCATCTTTTATAACTCTCCTTTGCTCAGCCTCTAAATTTTGTAAAACGGTCACATTATCAATGTTACTGGAAATCTTTTAGTAGTGCCTTGATTGGTGTCTATGTATAATTCGTGCATGAAATATGTTTCCCTCATATAATTTGCACTTTATATCGTTTCATCAGTTATAATTTTACCTTTTTTTCAGCTTTTTGGCGCTTTATACTCTGTCTTAGCATTTTATATGAGCTCATACTAGTTTTCCTGTTATTTCAAGTAAGTAGTATGAAATGGATTCCAATTTTACCAGTTTTGAACGATATTTAAATACGGACCATTTACTAACAAATATCAATTGTCCAGTGCTTGTATTGAGTTGCTTTTACTCAACTCGTTGCTCAGTTACTGCTCTAAAGATTTATAAACTTGTTTTTCCAAGCATCACGTCACAGGTTTGAATTCTTTTGTTTATCGTGTTTGGGGAAGAAAATCCTTAATTAATCAACATTTTACCTTCTAAACTTGTACACGAATTTCCTATTTCTTTTCATCACTAGGTTGATTAACTGAGAAATTTTATTTCGAACGCAGTTTCTTACTGTGCGCAACTTAAAAAAATGTTAATTTCTATTCATCCGGTTTCATATAACTGAAATGATAAGATGTCCGTCTAAGAGTTGTACTTTTGTCATGAAAAATACACTAGAACTATCATTGGTCGTTATATGCCGGGTTTGGGTGGCTAAGGCGATAATTAATTACATTTTATTCGAGATATGAAGTTCCTCAAAGTACAGAGGAATATATGTCAACAGATAATAATTTGCCACTAACTAATCCTTTCTAAATGGATTATAAGCTTACATAATGTTAAAAAATCGTATAATAACTCTTAAATGCAAGGTTTCCATCTTTATTAAAGCACAGAATATTTAATCGAATTTGGAGCCGTCATATGAAAGGGATGATTTTTCGTCCAAAAGATAAGTTTTACACAGAAAAATCAAGACTTATTTTTTAAGAACAAGCTATGAACAACGGAAAGTAATTTTTGAGGTAAAAATGACCAGTAGGACAAAAGGTGATACAATCCAATTTTTATTACTGCAAATCTGCAAGATATGTCCAAAGAAACTTGAGAACGTATTTGGAATGGAACTGTTTGATCATATCAGTCTTTGAAGGATTGCTCACTTTTGGTTTGGACACCAAATGAGTAATGGTAAGGTTTAGGCTTGGGATATTTAGTAAGAAGAAGAGGAAAGTTGTTAAAGCTATCACTCTTCACCAACCGTGGAAATACATCCGCGTGACTGATCTGTGCTTTCGATTTGTTCACCTTTTAGGAAAAAAAGAAGTGGTATTACTCTTTGCTTGCACAGAGATTGACCTGTCTGTTTCAAGGGTTTCGATTTCTAAGGTGTCCAGAAGAACATCAAGAGGTATTCTGTTTTGAGTGTCGTTGCTGGAGGTCGAAGTTACTTTCAGTTGGATAGCATGACGCACCCAAACTTCTGAGCCAACTGACACTTCGTAAATCTTTCTTTTGCACGATTCGACCGTCTATCCATGTAGAATGTTTGCCACGATAGTCCATAACAAGTATATTTTAATTCAGAGTGAACAATCTTCTTTGCACCTCATGATGTCGATTGAATTGCTTTTCCATCAATCTGTTTCGTCGAGACTCAAAAGCTGGCGTCGAAGTGTGCTCGTATTATTGTGCCAAGTAAAGCTTCTGATGAAGAGACCCTATTAATTGTCTGAGGATTTGGCACAGAACGATAGATAAGTAGGGACCTCTCTAAAATCTCCGGTGGTCCCCTCCTCTTTTGATTTCTTCAGAGCATTTATAAGTGTACCAACAAGGCGTTCTACTTGGCCATTGAATTAAGGATGGAACGGAGGTGTTCAGCATAATTGATTCTGTTCCACCAACAAAATTCTGAGATAGCAGACGTAAACTGTGTTTCATTGTCCCTAGCTATTAATTCTGGGACCTCGAAACGACTTATTAGTTGACGTAATTTTTTTGTTGCGGAGCTTGCAGTTCGATGTTCTATGAGAAGAATTTCTGGCCACTTTCTGTATGTGCCAAATACCAAAAGGTAAATATGTCCATGAATTGGGCTAGCGAAGTCTAAGTTCATACGTTGCCACAGTGACTGGTATTGGCCATGGTTGCAGCTATGTTTTCCATGGTACTTTTGTTGTTAATGCATATCTGGTATACGAACGGAATAGCTGCTTCAGTCGGGTGTGTAAGTGTGGTCAGTATACATAACTTCGTGCTAGTGTTTTCATGAAATTTCCAGTTTGTCCTGTGTGCAACTGTTCAAGCACTGGTGGTTGCAGCTTCTTTGGGATTATGACACGTTCGGCAAACAGAAGCCAGTCATCGATGATTGAAATAGTCTGCGCTGGTAAAACTGCTGAAGTTCTGTGAGCTGATCTTCAAGTGCCACCCTTATAGGTGGAACTACTTAACTTCTTATAAGACTGGGTCAACACTATAGAAGCTTCTTCAACACTACGGCGTACCTGAGAAGATAGTCAATATCATACAAAATTCCTATGATGGACTAAACTGCAGAATCGTGCATGGAGGACAGCTCACAGACTCGTTTGAGGTAAAAACCGGTGTTAGCAAGGTTGCTTACTCTCATCCTTTCTCTTTCGCCCGGTGATCGACTGGATCATGAAGACGTCATCGTCTTAGACTTCGTAGATGATCTGGCCAGAGAAGACGACCAGTGTAGCAGCAGCCTCAGCAGCAATAGGTCTCAACATACACAAAGGGAAAAGCAAGATTCCGATATAACACAGCATGCACCAATCGAATCACACTTGACGAAGAAGCTTTGGGAGATGTATAAACCTTTACATATCTGGGCAGCATCATTGATAAACACGGTGGATCTGATGCAGACGTGAAGGCGCGAATCGGCAAAGCAAGAGAAGCATAGTTACAACTGAAAAACATCTGGAACTCGAAACAACTGTCAACCAACACCAAGGTCAGAATTTTCAATACAAATGTCAAGACAGTTCTACTGTATGGGGCCGAAACCTGGAGAACTACAAAAGCCATTATCCAGAAGATACAGGTGTTTATTAACAGTTGTCTACGCAAAATACTTCGAATCCGTTAGCCATACACTATTAGCAACAACCTACTGTGGGAGAGAACAGACTAGATCCCAGTGGAGGAAGACATCAGAGAGAAGCGCTGTAAGTGGATAGGGCACACATTGAAAAGAGCACCCACCTGTGTCATAAAGCAAGCCCTCACATGGAATCCTCAGGGCCCAGTCAGTCAGTAACAACGTGGAACTTCGTACGTACGTACATCAGTTCGAGTTGCCATACCACATTAGCACAGAGATTCAGTTATCGATTCAAATCCCATAGTGGTAGAGGTACTGAAAGTATAAGTAGAGATAGGGTTACGCTTAAGCTGACTCCGCTCTTCGTTATGTTCAGAGCCAGATGGAATGAGTTTTCGAGCATCTATCAGTGCGGCAGATGCTGCTGAGATCCAGTGTTTCTCCCTAACCTTATGGTTTACCGTACTTGCAGACATCACTGCTGTTTCTACAGCTTTTCGGATGTCATTTCACGCTGCCTCGGGGTGGGCGTCACTTACATGGCTGTCTAACTGTTTTTCTAGTTGTTCCTGAAATATACTCTTAGCTTGACTATCATTAAGTAGGACCCTAAGGGGTTTCCTTGCAGCATGTTTCCTACGTCCAGCAAGACGTAGACAAATACGCGCTCGCACTAGAGCATGATCTGAGTCTAAGCATGTGCTCCAGAATGAGCGACAGTCTTCTATCGAGCCCCTCCATCGGTGGCTGATAGCGACCTTGAGTTGCTGCTTTTAGTCTTACCGTTCTCCAATCGACCTGCCTGGCATGGTAGAACCTGCAGGAACATGTGTTCCAGCCAATATAGCTCGGTTGGGTCATCACGATAGGCAAGCCCGACCACCACATCAAGGTAGCAGCTACGGTCGGGCCAAGGAAAATATAAAGACAAAAGAACGTATTACGGCGAGAAATGGAGGCAGACATGAGAAAAATGAACAAAGATTGGATAGACCTGGAAAGGAAGGCCCAGGACAGTGGGTTGGCGAATGCTGGTCGGCGGCCTATGCTCCATTTTGAGTAACAGGCGTAAGGCAGTAAGACTGGGTCTAGAAATTTTTTTCTCTGACTTCATTTGATGACGCTGAAGTGTTTCAAATGACCTCTGCTACTACACACCTTATTTCTGGACCTACTACTATTGAGGCGATGATCATGCCCTTCTGTCTAGGGTGTTGATCTCTAATCGAGAAAGAGCGTCGGCTTGACTGAAGTATTTGTTGACTAATACTTGATATTGTAGTCATAACTCAAAAGGATTGTCGCTCAGAGCTGTAGTGTGTTAGCCGTATAAACAAGGATTTTAATGAAGCAACATCAGTTGGTGCAGACACCTGAATGGCCTCTATGTTGGCGCTAGAGCTAAGGCAGCACTAATCGGCTGGATCCCCATTAACAGTCGGTTATGTGCTGTTAGATTAGAAAGTACCATCAAGGTGAGAAGAAATCGGCGTGAGAAACGATGTCTTTTCGTCATCTCCGCCTATGCCCCGACAGATTGCAGCCCGGATGCAATCAAGGATGAGTTCTACCACCAGTTAACTGTTCTTCTCCAGAAGGTGCGTTCGACAGATATTGTAGTACTAGCCGGAGACTTGAATGCTCAGGTCGGGCGTCTAGGCACAGAAGAGAGTCATTTAGGTGGCCGATGGGGACTTGTTGGTCGCAGGACAGATAACGGGGACCGTCTACTGCAACTTTGCACAGATCACAACCTGTTTCTGGCTAGCACTAACTTTCGACACAGTCATCGCCGATGTGCCACCTGTCGTCCCCCTTCTGCATCTCAAGCCTGGACTCAGATTGATCACATCGCGATCAGCTACCGCTGGCGTGGTTGTGTACAAGACTGCCGCTCCTTTTGGAGTACGTATTTGGACTCTGATCATGCCCTGGTTTGCGCCAATCTTACCTTACTTTTCAGTGGACAACAAAGTGACCGCCACCAAAGGATTGATGATAGCAAGCTGGTTGCAACTTCTGTTGCTAGTAAGTGTCGAACCGAGCTAGCTTCTAGGCCAGCTACCATTCCACCGAAAAGTATAGATGAGCATTGGTTGCAATTTCATGACGCCATGAAAATGGCGGGTAAAGTCTGTCGTGGATTTGCGAAACGTCCCGCTTATAAGCACTGGGTTTCTTCCGGTTCCTTACAACTGATTGAAGCCCGTCGGTCTACTCCGGATGACCGTGAGTTTGAACACAAACAAAGGATGTTACGCAGTGAAATTGGACAAAGCTTGCGTAAGGACCGAGAAGCCTGGTGGTCGTAGCTTGCTAATGGGCTTGAAGCAGCAGCTGCATCTGGTAACTACCGGAAGCTCTTCCAACTCATCCGAGCCACTGGCAGCAAGAAATCTGGTGTGAGCGACACAATCTGCGACGATGACGGGATGTCAATCACTAACATCCATCGACGTCTTGGACGATGGGCAGAATTCTTCGAAGGGCAGTTCAACTGACCTGCTGCTCCGGCAACATCGGTCAGACTGTCCTGCCCTCCATGGTCGGTGAAGACTGATCCACCAAATGAGGCGGAAGTCCGCAAGGAACTCCAACTCTTGAAACGTTACAAATCACCGGGCCCAGATGACTTACCTCCGGCTCTTTTTAAAGATGGTGGTGACTTTCTGGCTAAAGAACTGACGACGTTGTTTACAAAGGTCTGGGAACTAGAGAGTGTACCAACGTCATAGAATAAGTCGATAGTTATCCCTATCTTTAAAAAGGGTTCACGTCGTTCCTGTAACAACTATCGGTGGATAGGTCTACCTCCGATTGCGTCCAAGCTATTGGTTTCCGTCATACTTCGTAGGTTTTTCTAAACCCGAGAAAGATTGACTCGCGAGGAGCAGGCTGGTTTTCGTTCAGGTCGAGGATGTATTGATCATATCTTCACCCTCCGCCAACAATCGTAATGTTTCTTGACATCAGGGCTGCCTTCAATTCGTTGGATAGGTCTGTTCTCTGGGATTGTCTATTGAAGAAGTGTGTGTGTCTGAGAAGTTTATTAACATCTTAAAGGCCTTATACACAAACACCTCATGCAGAGTGAGGGCATACAACCACCTCTCTTCATTATTCCATTCGAGCAGTGGGGTTAGGCAGGGTTGCCCAATCTCACCATTCCTCTTCAACTTTGCCATCGATGACATTCAAGAAACAGCTCTGATGGATGTAAGTAATGGTGGTGTGGATCTGTTGCCTGGAGAAAGACTTCTCCACCTTGAGTATGCGGATGATATTGTCTTACTGTGCGATAATGCCCAAGCCATGCAATCGCACTAAATCAGTTGGCAATCAATGTCCGTAGGTATGGTATGTGCTTTGCACCTTCGAAGTGCAAAGTACTTCTACAAGACTGATAGGATTCTAATCTTGTACTCACCCTGAATGGTGAGCAGATAGAAGTAGTCGAGAAGTTCGTGTATCTAGGTAGCTGCTGTCTCCGAAGGATTGCTAACATCCAGTGGCAACACCATGTTAGTAATGCAGAGGTTCGGCATCGTGTGTTCGGGCACAGAGACGACAATCCAATTGGTGTCACCATCTTGAAATACCGACTTCGGTGGCTTGAATGTGTTCTACGAATGTCGTCCCAGATAATTCCTCATCGTGCATTATTTGCCGACTCTGGTACTGGTTGGAAAAAGTGGAGAGGTGGTCAGTGTATGACATGGTGTCGTGGTATGAAAGAAAACTGCAAAGGGCTGGCTTCTGTTGGTCCTTTACGACTCCCTGGGTGGGGTCCTAGAGATGGTGTAACACAGTGGCTAGAGAGGTTATCAGATATGGCTCAGAATAGAAGCCAGTGGTGATCGTGCTGTAACCTTCTTTTACTTTCCTCATAAAAAGTGGTTGCTTCTTCCTTAACTGAAGGATTTCTTTTGATTGTACCTTTCCGTTTCCCCCATTATTACTACTATTACACTACTTCTCACTAATCTGTTCGTTATTGTTCTTTTCTTACTCTCCTTACCCTCCGCTTTTTTGTTGCTTTTCCCTTCTCTTTAAATTCTCATTGTTTTGTGTGGCCCATATATATTTGGTGACCTCTTGTACCAATATTTATGTGTTCAAATATATAAATAAATACATGAACTGCCTCACAAGGAATATTTGGAATTTAGTGTGAACCCAAGCGGTGGATGTTAAGCTCTTTTGTCAGTCTCCAACAGCTACATTTGTGCACCACATTGTGCTTGCTGTTCGGTTGAGCTGGTCATTTATTATCGGTATCGTGAATGTGTTTTCCTCTTTCCTCGTCGTTACTGTTATGATTTCTGGTATTACGAACCGTCTAGTCTTATTGCTTAGTATTCTTGGATACTACTTCACTTAAAACACGGTTGAACAGGAACGAAATTATAATCACAATAAGATAAACATTATATTTATAATTTTTAGATAAGAAGATTCTGGAGACTTCCCCAAGTGTCTGTTAGCGTCAATTGGTTAGGAAATAGCTAATCAGAGTGTCCCAACATATTTCTGCACGGAACATGCTTTAAGCTCGCTAACAATGTGCTTCACTGATAAAAATAAAACCCGGATCTGATGAATTTTCTTGGGCTACTACTCAATTTCAACTTATTCATTTGATTCGGCGTCAATAAGAGTATACCAACCGAAAAGTATTAATTCACGGTTACTTGGGATATTGGTAAACCACGTTAGCTGAAACGTAATTATCATCATTTCATATTTTATCGAATAAGATTATTCAAATGTATTTGAATAACTTGATTTCGGTGGGTAAAATCACTCACAAATAAGTGCAAGTCATACATTGATCTCCTTTTTGATATTTTCGATCGTTTAATACTGGTTTTAAGCGTTGTATTATGGTGATTTGGTTGTCGATTTTGAATCTTAACACTGGAGAAAAGATGTCAACAAGTATGAACTTAATTTGACTTGATGAATTGTTAGTGGTTACTTCTTTCTGGTTATCATTCCTTAAGTTCGTTTTTATTACTTGTATATACATACCCTTAAAAATTGTTCCTTCATTTAATTGTTTGCTTTTTATTTTAATTTTGACTGTTGTGTCTCATGTCATGCTTTTCACCGTTGTATACTGTTTTTACATTATTCCATTATTTAGAGTGTAGACGATGCTCGTCAATGGTTACGTTACTTAGATTTAGAGCTTGGTAAACCTTTGGAAGAAAAGGATTATGGTGGGAATTGCCGAATATACGATTGGGATAGACCAGACAATCCATGGCACAATGTCATCGTCAGTATTTAACGTGTTACATTTATTGCCAATTTTTTATAACCTATGGGTTCGTCTTTTTGTATGCTCACGTATGTATATGTCATATATGTGGTTCTTTATGCACAGAAATATATAAGTTAGCTTCAGATCAATATTACAATAGTGGGTCACTATGCACTATAATAGGGTTTCAGGGCTTCGTTGATTAGAAAAAAAACACTATTTAGTATACAGGAAAATGTATATGTCAGTTCAATTTATTTTATCAGATAAACAGACTTTTGTTCTTATCAATATTGATATGCAAATAATAAATGATCAGTACTACTCTTACAATCAGAACTGTAATGATGCTTTGCGTATTTCCAAAGTCCTGACAAATTTTTTTCGTTCTTAAAACATTTATGAGATTTATTATTTCCAATTTAACACTAAACTGATTTAATTGCCAATAGTTAAAGCTTGTTAATTGATGAGAAAATCAGGTGATTTTTATTTTATTTCGAAAAGTTAATGCCAACTACCTATTTATTCACATTTTTGTGTTATCTCTGTTGTACATACCAGTATACTAGTAATGTGCGCCTAAATCACTTACTGAGATCTGATTCATACGAACACACTTTGTTTAAATAGCAGTAACAGTAATTGGTCGCTTAAACATTTGTCTATTGGTTCTTTGAAACTTCTTGTTAATCCGTACCCATAACTGTACAGGAAGTTACACAGTTTCCTTGTAATTGTCCTTAGAAAAAGTCAGTTCGTGTTTAAAATACATGACTAAAGATTAAGTAAATCTTTATTTTTGATTTAGTGTTTAATACCTGGACTGGTGTAAACAAAATATATAGTATGAATTTAAACAAGTTATTCAATACACCTAATTCATAAACTTTTTAAATTATTAAATCATAAAATTGTGTTCTTTTACATTGTAAATTATTTTTAGGAAACTATTAATAGTTTTTATAGTTTGAAAGTAAAGAGTGATACTGGTGTTCCAAATATGTAGTCTTTAGTGATCTTTGATGTATTCCCCTTTACTTTCTTTTTGTAATATGTTTTTTTGCCTTCATAGTTTTTGTCATTATCATTTTGTTACGTTATACAATTATGCCTATTCTATATTATTATTTATCGGATTTCAATTAACATTTAAGTTGCTCATATATTTGTAAATCTTTGTTGGTATCATAAATTTATTCACAAAAAAAAAGGAATGGTCATATGCTCAAATGTAATGTATGCTACTTTTAAATTGCCCCATGATTTGTGAAGTAAACTTGTTGAGTAATGAGAAAAAATTGCTAAAAGCCACAAACATGGCTTTCCATGTATAGAATTACACTTACAAATTCAAACAAATAAAACTATAAATAATAAAAATAGAAGTAAAAATTAGATAAATAACTGATTAGTGTTACTTTTCATTTGACTCTCATAAACGATATATATATATATATATATATATATATATATATATATCACGCTTTGTCAAAGCAGATATATCGGTTTATAGAAAGTAAGTTGGAATCAGTAGTGTAATGTATCGTGATAGTGAATACATATTTAAATAAAATATATAGTCCCATAAATACAATAGCATACTTTTTTGTTATGAACTACAAACATTGAATTAATGATTGTTGTACGGTAAACGTTACTAAATAAAATATATTCCTATATATCTTAATACTGTTGGCTAGACTTCTAAATCCATGCACTTAATCAATTTTTCTATCTGTCACCTTCCAAGTATGATATTTGTGTTTGGTGTTCTCCTCCTCCTACTTTTAATTGTTGATGTGTCATCTTTAGATTTTTAGTTTCATCCTTATCTTGGACGTGCAAATCTGTTTTATTATTGAAGCTTTCAGATCATGTATTTATTTGAAAAAAAATTATTATTTATCTTTTCATGGTAAACGTGTACGTCGGTCAATACATTTCTTTTGAGTTACTGGTGTTTCGATTCACCTCATTTTGAATTAAACAGTTCTGCTAATTATCTGATATGGTTGTATTGTCAATTTAAGATCAATATTTCCATAATGCAAATATTTCTACTTTTTCTCTTAATTATATGCGGTTTTACAAAAGTTATCCAATAATATTTGATTAGCATCACATTATTGTTATGTATTATAGAATCTATTTTTTCTATTTATGACAAATGCAAAATTTTTACTTATTATTTAATGAAAAATGATTACTGACTTACCAATATATACTATACATAATGATAATAATTCATCGTTATGTTAGCTTTATTTATATATGCTTATTAAACAAAAAAAATGTACTTGCGTACGTAACTCTTCAGGTAAGGTTTTTATCGTTTCAGGAACAAAGGTATTTAATCTATTATAATGACTAATAAATTTGTTATTGCAAATAAGAATTAATTTACTTGTATATATCAAGTGGTTACTGATTGTTTATTTCTAGTTTATAATAGTTATACATGTTAAATTCTTTTAGTACTTGATGCTATTATCTTGTGTAAATTTCATAATCAAGCTGTGTTCTTTAGTTGTACACTTAGTTTGTGTTTAAATACGAAAACAATAAAATTAAGAAAACTCATCCAACTAATTGTCTATATCTTATTTGTTAACAGATTATATACAGCATGAATCACCTTGCTTCATTTTTTACCACACCAACCGGGTCATTTTTATAGTAGTAAGAGAAAAGGCAGCCTAACTATTCCAGACAGTACTGCGGTATAATATTAGAAAGGTGCACCTCACAGAAAACTCATATTCAAAAATATTACTTTCTACGGAGAGAGGAAATGTTTAAGAAAGGTTAACCCTTAAAATGCACATGCTCCGTCTCTTCATAGATTTTCGGAGTAGGAGATCAACTCTGAATATGAAGTAGTTGATGCAGCCAAATATATTTACAAAAGGGTCGTGTGTGATTAGCGTCAAACATATGAGTTTTGTCACACTAATCTCCATCTGAATAAAAAGTGGCGCTTCACAACTAATCTTCTTTTATGTTAGGTGTAACCGTATGGGATAAAATTATCGATATGATCATTAATTTTATTTCACTATTCTAATTCACTAGTATATTAGCCAATGATGAATTCTTGAAATAATTACAGCTTTTATCAATTCGTCCAGCTTGTAATACATTTTTGATTCAGTTTCTTTTACTCACTATCTGAGTGTGTATTTTTACAATAACATGATGTGTAACAGATATTTGTCGACTGTCTTGATAAAACGCATTTTATCTCAAATAGTTTTTTTTTTCTGGAAATCTAGTCAAAAATGGATGGTTTCGTGACAGTTCATTTTGTTGGCTGGTGGGCTAAAACATTAATCCTCCGAGATTATTGGATATGCAACGTCTTAAGTTTTGCTTTTGAAGTATTAGAATACTCATTAGAGCATCAGTTGCCAAATTTCTCAGAATGTTGGTGGGACCATGTAAGTTTGGATTTTGAATTATTACTCTTATTTTAAACATCGATATATATATATATATATATATATATATATATTCGTGCTATTTCACAAAATAAAATTTGGGTTCATTTTGTAATTAACTATAACTTAACATATTTAAATTCTACTGTAAATAGATTTTTAGAACGACTGATCAATAAGGACTTTTCATCGTCAATAGAAGCAGCGCACTGCCATTGATTTTTCGATTTATTCCTGCCTACTACTGTTGTCATAGATTATTATGCTTATGATTCTGCGTTTTGTTAGAGTCTATGTGTCATTGTTATTACCTGACATTCCGATTCGCTTCCTAACACTTAACACGACCGGTTATTAAGTAGTTTGGCGATGAAAAATCTTTCTTTAGTGCCGAAATTAATTATTATTAATTATTATTATTGGCTTTATTCAATATTATATATTTTTGGTACAATATAGAATTCTCAGCACAAAGTATTTCAACAAGTTTCCCTTTCTTATTTCTTGATCAATCCTTACAATAGATATTTAGTGGTCGCCAGTTAGATGTTAGCGGTTCAAGAATCGACATCTGATTAATGTATATTCTTTTCGATGCATATTGCTAGTAACCATAATGTCTCTGATTGAGCTCTTTTGTAACTTGTACAGCGAAATGTCGTAAACTTTTCACAAACGCACCTGAATAGGTTATGAGACTAATAGGCATAGTGATGTGTTAAAACAAACAAGAAAACAGATAACTTGTTGAAATATCCAGATGGCAAGAACAGGTAGCCCAGATACTCAAGCAGGCCGCATACACAGTAATCTTTGTCGAGTTTCCTTCTGTGGGCTGGATTGTTCATTAGTGAGTGAAGGTCTGCCTTTATTTGCCTGTCAGTTAGAAAAGATGCATAAAATTCGCTCTTTTTAAGTTATTAACGGATGTTACCCTCGGTAATAATATTTCTTTTACCTGTTGTTCAAGTATTTTGATCATTGAGTATTACAAGTCTGTGATATGATTAGGGTTTTCCTCAATATTATTTTTGACAGATCAGCCATCTGACGTTACAGGGAAGTGTATGCGAATCACCTTACCGAATCCAACTAATTTCTAAATTTAATTATCTAAATTAACTCAGTAGTCAAGTCTTTAAATGTTTTAAATACCAAAAGTTTATATGAAAAGATGGATAATAGCTAGCAGTGGAATCTAGGACGCGCGTTTTGTTTTATCTGGGACTCGTTAGCTGGATGTACCTGCACCTCCGAGTTGATGTTCACCCCGGGACTCGAACCCAGTACCATTTGCTCCAAACGGTTACTGAGCCGTGATAAACTAGCTTGTGCGATGGCGTGAAGTTTAATTCATTTTTGTAATGGTTGCTTGAATCTCTCGATCGATGTTTAATATTGCAATTGATCAGTCTTTTATTGGCATATGTGCATTCTGTAAGGACTGCCTCGATATCGCCATCAGTTACAAGCAATCTGAGGAAAGATGGATGGTGGCTAGCAATGTCGAGGTAATCCCTACAGGATGCATATATGCCAATAAGAGACTGATCAATTGCAATACTAAACATTGATCGGAAGATTCAAGCAACCATTACAAAAAAGGAAATAATAGCTTAAGTCAGCGTGCATCTTTAGGTGAAGTGACTGCAACAGTACTAATTCATATCTTGATCTCATGTTGTATTTCATATTTGTATCTATCAAGGTGCGGACTTTAAAAAACTACACTCACAAACATAATGTTCTGTGACTGTATACTACATTATATGTAGTCTTATCGTGATCTGAATCATTTCTACTTAACCTTGAAAATTGTAAACTATTTTCATGACGAATATGTTAGGGATACAAATAATATTGATTGTTTCGTGTCAATAAGACTTCAATATATGTAACTTTTGTTAAGGTGAGTCTGCTTTTTATGTTTATCATACCTAAGTCACTTTTTGCTAGAATGTGATCTAACGAAGGTAACTATTTTTCAGCTGCTCAACGGTGTATGAAGTTTTTTAAGTAGATTTCTTGAGAGATGTTTTTGTCGAAATATATTTATTTGTTGCACTGTAGGTTTAACCGTATATATATATATATATATATATATATATATATATATATATATATATATATATATATACGTATTTTATTCATTGTTATTCGGTCAATTCCTTCTCTAATTAAATCGTCTATCTCAATCCTTGACTACAAGTGGGTAATACATGTTTTAGTTTGAAACTTAGTCCTCACCTATGAATGTTATCCATCTTGTGATTGTGAGTGCTTGAAGCACTTCATAAAATGCTTACTTGTCACTCCAAGAACTATAAAACATTGCTTCATTTTTTCCAGATACTAGTTTGCTTTTTTTACGTTATCTTTATGTTCTAACTTTTCTTTTAACAATATAAAAAATACAGTGGATCATGGATTTTCTAGGTTGCAACCTTCTTGGAATTTGGTTAGGCATGAAAACAATCAATTATTTAAGCATGAAACCGTATCATTGGCGATGCATGTGGAATATTCCCAGTTATAGGTAATTTCTATTTATTCTGATTTTATTATTGAATTACATTAAACCCGATTTATCGTCTTTTTCTCTCGAAGTTCACAACACTGCTAAATTTAAGAATTAAGATTGTTTATTTGGTTAGTTATGAAGATTTGTTCGTTCTTTTGTGTGTGTGGGGCAGTTCAGTCTGGTCATCGCCTCGCATCACAAACTAACTGAAGCTGACAATATGAATATTCGGTTTTGGAGTACCACTACAGCTTCGAAATCTCAAGCTCTCGGGTTCGATCCTTAGAGAAATCGAGTCCTAAAATAGTGTATCTTGGTTTTCGATGATTCAGCATCCGAAATCTGTGTCAAAAACTATCTAAACAGTCAAGATTGTTATTATTTTTTTTATTAATGACTTTATTCAACATTATATTTTTGGTACAATATAGAATTTTCAACTATCTTTGAAAACCCGGATTTTTAAACTTCAACCCGTGAAGTTTTTTCGATGTTGCGATTGATTAGAATTGTTATTTTTCGAATTCGACTATGTATTTGGATGATTTATTTATGTGCACCGTCGTTTTCATCAGTCCTAACAACTACTTTGGCGTACTTGTCTATCACTCTTTGCATATGCCGTAGCTTCTTACTGTTAACTAGCTCTTCCCTATTAAAATATCAGCATGTAATTTATTGCAACTCAAGATCCAATAGTTCAAATGTGGGTCATTTTTGTGTATGTGTTCAGTATAAAGCTCTGGTTATATTGGATATTTTTTCACGTTTTATCAGTTCCATTCAGTTAATCAGTGATACGCAACATAGAGTCTCACACATATGATGTTGCCATACATTAGCACAGCGAGATGAAATCATTTCAAGACAAGGCCCAGAGCGGTCAGAACAGTGACAATATCAATAGTAGTAGAAAAGATGAGGTACAAAAAAAGAAAAAAAACAGAGATATAACGAGATTCAGCACCTAAATGAAAAGTAGTGAATGCACCCACGGTATTGTGAATGATTCTGACCCATGTCACCCCTAGCTTTTCTGCAACCACCGTCAAGGTATGCGGTGGATAAACATACGTAACACATATCCTGAACAACTCAGTTGGTGAAGACTTACCACCTCATCAGTCGATTTGTTATGTTTGCCTAGTGCCCTCAGGACCGATCACTCGGTCGCAAAATAAACGATCGATGCTTCAAAGACACTTTTCATCAAATAATAATAGCCTGCGAATATCCTTTACTCTTTATGACCATGTTTCACGTCTATAAAGTAGAACAGAGCGAACTACTGCACAATAAACTCAGCCTTAGTTTAGGAAACGGATATTCCGCCTAGGCGCTGATAGAAAGGTGTACCTATAATGTTCAGGAGACTGACGTCCCTTGTGAGATTCCAACTGCGTCACGATACGACGTTACTACTTGGATATGTAGGTGACGACTGACCTCCCGTAAAACATTTACAATTGGTTGACCACTGGGTAGCAAATAACGCCATTTATGTTTAGTCCTGTAATGCTTGTCGAATTACATCAATCAAGCGCAACACTGAATTCTTGTCAGTGATCAGTCAGTTGTAAAATCACATGAGATTGTTTTTCAAGGTCTAATTTCCTTGACAATCTGACGAAAAAATCAAGGTGATCGGAGTTATAACTTTCTTTCCTAGTCACTGGACTCGTCTGGGTTTGTTATTTCCTTTTCCTAAAATTCATAAAACGAATGCCTAAAAGTACTTTGACATTTCGCTAACTTGATGTGAAATTTCGAACTTATTTATCTCTGTAACTACTGTTTCTTTTACAAAGCAATTATGATGAAATAAAATATAATCTACTGATGATGTATCGAAAACCTAATGTTACCCAGATCAAATGATTAAAAAAAAACATTTTTAGATCACCCAGTGACGCTGCTTGGAAATGTATTGTATAGTTTTTTTTCGGAGATCAGATCAAAGCAGACAACATTCTGGTTTAGTTGCTAGGACTCTACAGTGAAAGCGGAATATCCCTCGAAGATTCATTCACAGAGTAATTCTGAATTAGTTTAATTGACTAGCGCCAAAAATTATTGTTATGCGACTCGGTAACTTAATGACTATAAATTCATTTATCTCTCTACATTACCTTATACAGAGGCAAACTTCGTAGAGTCATGTTGCAGTTCACCCCTCGTCGATGGACTGATTTCGATTGGCGTCCGACTGGAAGTCTAAAGAGATGGCTGGGGACTTTGGTTCTTGCGATTGCAGTAAGTATTGTGGTTTTTTGTACGTTAGACTATGATCATCGTTGTTTTGCGCCAAATTTATGACTACAATTTGATCTATTTAATAGTCATCTATTCTTGTCGATTATATCAACATTATGAAAAGACAATTTTGATACACAGTTGCTATTTTTTTAACCAACTGCTTTACTTCTTTACTAAAACACTATTACTTTTCCATGGAATAACTTGTTCTGAGTATTGCTAATGAAACAGCTGTAAAATTAATTTCATCAGTTACGACCATGTATGTTTTTGCTACAACATACATTAAATCATCGAAACGATAGGACTATTAGTTTAATTCTTGTCATGACCTCCGTCCAAACACAGAACCAGACTAAACCAAACAAAGGAGACACAATATAACAAGTACCACAGTGAGGTAAAGCTCCTGCAAAAAATTCTTTCTAATCTTTCGATCTTAATTACGGTAGACTTATGCTTTGTTTTTTCCTACCACTTTTTAGATACTTACAGCAGAATTGAATACTTTTTACTTGAAATTCGTACTTTGGGTACCACCTCCCCATTTCTTGTGTCTTGGACGTCTGGTTTTCCTGATCTTGATGGGAGCCACTGCTATTCGTGAATATTTTGAATACCTTGATGATCCGTAAGTGAATTCAGAAAGACTGAATTAGTAGAATTTTTATGTTATTATTTTTCAGGAGACAAACACATGTTTACAGACTTTCAAAATATGGACTTTTTCATTATCAAGCCACAAGCGATTTCTAGTGTATCGAATATAATGAGCATCCAAACGTGCTCAAATATATAACCTAAGGAATCAATTAACTTGGCTCCTTAAACAAAATAACTGAGGATTCGTTAGACTTCAAGTTGTTAAACCACAGAACGTTTCCCACCAAAAAATCGCTTATCTGTAGTAATTAAACTTGTTTGTCATCACTGTTGCCGAGTTCCATACTAGGACGGCAAAATAACTGTTTAGTACTTCTTAGTTTTAGTGATATCTGCGGTCAATTTTTCACGAATAACAACTAAAAATGAGACCAACCCGGAAAAATACTATGACCGTGTTTTCACTGGTGAAACTATTCGAGATCTACACCTTGAGTTCCGCTGGAAAGTTGTGGCCGATGGAAGATATATATGCTGGGAGTAAAACAGTCATCACCAGCAATGGCACTGGGCATTCATTGTGCTGTATCGTGAATGTAATATCACCGGGTGCGCAGAAAAATCAAATATCCAGTGCCTCCTGCTAACTCAACTGTACCCAACTATGATGTATACTACTCACGAATTAAGCAAGTCTCCATAAACCAATCCAACTAAACTTCTCACTGTTGCAGGAAGAAAAAAGCTCTTAAATCTTCTGATGATCAAATAAAAAACAAGTGGAAGTTACAAAAGCTTGCGAATAGACATATTCTTTTACGTTCGTATAACTTCCAAACAGACAATGCATCTACTATTTAGTAAAAACAAATGGAGAACGTCTACCTTATTATCATTGTATTTTTTAAAGATTAAGTGCCAATGTGCATGTATATGAAAACTGTTTATACTCTATAAATTACTGATTCTCAGTTCTTTACCCCTTTTCTAGTAAATGCAAACGATTCGGGAGACAAGCATGGATGATTTCAAGCATTATTATAACTGAACTCTTGATAGTAATGAAGTTTGGTTGGGACACAATTACTAAACCATTCCCCAGACACATATCCATCTTCTGGTCGTTGGTTTTAATCGGTTTAGTATCATGGACTTTCTGGCACTTTTATATTTTACCTTGGTTGTTTCGATGGAGTCGCGTATCGAAAACTGGGAAACCACTAGAAGAAACTATTCAAAATCATCGCCCACAGAAGGTTGAAAACCCTGTTGTTTATAGACGTAATGCCAGGTCATCAGTAAAGTTGTTAAATCATTCATAGTCACTTTAATAACCGATCTCTTTTGCCTATCTATGAAGATGATTTTACCACATTTTTTTATTATTAGGGAATTTCAAAAAATATATGTGACAAACTTGTGTTTTTATTAAACATTATGGCCATTAACATCATTCACGGGTTCGTAACGTCCAGAACCATAAAAAAGAAATAAAACTTGACATTGTACTGTTAGTTTTTGACACTCTAAAAGTAAGCATACATACTTGTGAAACTGACAATACACAATGAAATTTAGTATCCTGCTTTGAATAGTATGAAATACATTTCTTATAACAGCCACTAAAATATTTTAGGTCAAACAAGCTAGGAACTCATCCCTCCACACAGCTACAGCTAGAGTTACATTCGTGCCTTTGGATCTCGTTTTAAAAATTTCTGAGTAGACAGTGGGAATTGTGTTGTATCAAAGTCTGGGTCATTCGTCAAACGTACTGCTAGTCGATCTGAGACAACTTCTCTCAAGGAGTTTACGAGTTCAATATCTGCGGCAGGTAGTCTTCTGAGTTTCGACTTATATTTATCTTCTACATCATTATTCGAATATTCGTTCGTCTTCTCTTTATTAACATGATCACTTGCAACAGCATCGGATAAGCATTCTATGAATAATTGGTCAGGTGATTGAAATAAAGATGCTGAGTGTTCTTGCATAACCTATTTGAACAGTGTAAAAAATAACGAATATAAAGTGATTAAACAGTGGGATGTATAATGCGAACAAAGTAGTCGTGAAACGAGTTGCGGCATAAGCTAACTTCTCCAACCTCTAACAGCCATCAAGAAAGAGACTAGACATATCTCAGAATAATAAATAAGATAAGGATCCCCCCAAATGTTGTGCCAACCTGAAGCTGTCTTGAGATTACTAGAACTAGGCATTATGTAAAAATAGAGAAGAAAATACATCTCAATGGAATCATTGTTTGTGTCAGGAAATGAAATCAACCTAATTAGTTTATTTATTTATTTTATACAATAGTCGCAACTTCTATTTCTGAAGCTTCGGAGGAATCGTTTATTCATTCTGCATGTAACTGAGATTTCCCAGTTTGAGTGATTTGTACTTTGGTGCACTTGAGTAGAGATTTCATGGTATTTTTAGAGCCTACACTAAACGTTTTCAAATTTAACTTCCTTCTGTTACCCCTCGTGTTGGAGCCCAGGTCACCGACCAGGATATTCCATTGAACTCGGTCATGAATAATCCTTTCCAGTTGCTATTTATTCTTTTGATATCCGCTTCCAGTTTACGATCTGGTGTTTCTTGATCTTTCTGTTTCCTTCAGGTTTCCAAGTCGAGGTTGAAAATGAGATATCATTTATGGGATGCGGTGTAATTATATATATATATATATATATATATATATATATATATATATATATATATATATATATATATATATAATAGAGGGAAATAAACAGAAAGTTTATTACCTTTCGTCTTTTCGCAGGCATGCCTGCTATATATCCATCACTGAATCGCCCGAATTGATTAGGATCATCTGTAGTCGGAAGGTTATGTGACATAGCAGATATATCGCTCGTGACTACATGAATCCAGGCAGGAGGTAAAACGGCGTGCCAACCTTCTGTTTCATTTGGAACTGATAGGTCATTACTTATAGGCAGAGTAGCATTCGGATTAGGATCAAGTCCATTTATCCTACTCTCAGGCAATTCTCCTGGTTTCGGAGTCCAATCAGGTAAGGAAGATATTTTTGATTGTAATTTAAGCTGACCAGTAAGTACATCATTACTATTTTTTGAAACAGCTGACATAGGACGGTTCATTTCATCCGAAGGCAGATCAGAATATGCGTCCACAAACGGCAAATCATCACCGTGCAAATCTTCATCAAATACATTTCGTTGGATTTCACCATTTGACTAAAAGAAAATAATGAACACTCCTGTAAGGGAAATTTGATTTGTATTTAATATAAATAATTCACATTTCATCAAATTCACACATTCAATCCACTTGTAAATGCAACTTATAAATTTACCAGACCACCGCCTTACTATGTTCGCATGATCATATAATATTATGTGTCAAATGAAAAAAGGAGACTAACCGGATCAACCATCATAGGTGAAGGGATTTTGAATTTCCTGAACTCTATGTATGAGGACTTTTGGTGCGTGACCTTGGCACGTAATGTGGTTTCATCCATATCGCAGTACGATTTAATACAATTCTCAAAACCTGTTATAAAGTCTTGAGCAAAGTCAAAGTTTTCATCATCTATAGAATTTATAAATTGAGAAAAGAATAAACAATTTAATAAAATCAGAATAGGGATTTGTGCAGATTATAGTAATTTTAATAGGTGGATTCATGAATCGATACAAATATTTGATAAAATATCATAATCAGAATTACTGGAAATGACGTATGTCCTCTTTACATCACTAAAGATTTTTGGAAACGTAACAATTGCTTTCAGGCGTCCGACAGGTCATGATAATTTGTTCACTCCTCTACATAGTCGTATACCTCTATCAAAGAATGTCCTTCGAAATAGCATTTCTGCAAAAACTTAGAATTTGGCTCAGGCAAGTCAATTGTTTCTAGGTCTTAAACAACCGTTGCCACTACCATGACCTGGCTTCAGGTACGCATGTCGAAACTTATCGGAATGAGTGAGTACAAGACGAAAATATTTGACCTAAATTGTGCTATACTTCGAGCAACTCAATCAAGTCCTTAAACTACTGAGTACAAAAGAGGTCAAAGATCCTGTGCTTCAGCCGACGATAGTATATGAGAAAAAATGTGGGCATTTATAATTCTTTGCGTGTCCTTGAGAACCAACTATTCAGAACATGGTTTTGTAGAGTTTGATTTAACTTCAGGTGCATAGTTTTAAAAAAGTGCAAAATAGCCACCAATTTGAATAACATTTTCTAGCTGATATGAATCAAATTTCCTAAGGAGTACGATATATTTCAGTAGTAGCGATGTACAGTTGTTTAGCAACACTTAGTGACGCCTAGAATAACCTACAAACATTTGAAAAGACTGGTGAATAATCAGGTCAGTTATTGTAAAACAGCCTATACGCTTACCCTCATTCTCTTGCAAAAATGAATTTAAATGATCCAACAACAAATCAAAGCCTGTAGTGATGCCAAACATTTGGTTTCGAATTCCTTGAGGAGTTTCGGAACTTGATTCAGTATGTAGTTCAATACCCAAAGAAGAAGCAAGATGATTTGTAAGGATGTCTGTTAAGCACAGAAGATCTGTACAAGCAATCTTCAGAGTCATCAGTAGGGTATTACCGAACCCGGTATTCGTTGGACTGGCTCTCCACAAATCCAATTGCGAAGAAACAATATACTTAAGGAATTAAAATGTGAATGAAAATTTACAAACTATAGTATTTAATTATGGGATAGGAAGTAATTAATACATCAGTTATAAAATGACTTGGAGTGTAAACTATTAAATCTGTAGGGAATTATATTAAGGTTCCAACCATTGGTTACGATAATCACGCGGACCCCAACCAAGTAGTTTGCATCTACCAACATGGCTCAGACCAGAATTTAGTGACGTGGCTGTTGTAACCGAGCGAAGATTAAATCACGAATAACTTCTGAGACATTAATTGACTAATATTATTTATATGTTCTTATGGTATAACTATTCAATAGTTAGATTATTTATATTTATATTCCCCTTATTATAAGCTTCATTTTGACCTATAATTTATCATTGTACGATTTACTGTCCCTAAATTATGCTCAGTTTATTAATTACTGTCTCCCACATTCACAGCCACGTTTTGGTCTATTTGTGTACACATGTTATTTTCTATTTTATGGTACTTTGTGGTCTGTCTGATTGATATATAAACCGAGTATGTCTGAAATAAATGATTTGGTCCGATTCGATTCATATTACGGAAGCTGGTGTTGTGTTCTGGACTCAAGAGGACGGGTTAGAAGGACACAGGACCCAATAAGGACGCTAGACTGCTCAGACCGGTTGAACGTCATTGGTCTCGTCACAGTGCGAATATTTGTATGAGCCGTATTCTGATTGGTAGATAAGTCACGTGATCGTAAGCCGGACATCAAATCATAACAGTGGCATCAGTGCTTGAAGTCACTAACTTTTGGTCTGAGCCATGTTGGTAGATCCAGACTGCCTGGTTGGGGTCCGCGTGACTACCGTAACCAATGGTTGGAGACTCTTGGTGACATGGCTCAGAATCGATCACAATGGCTTCGGTGTGTACACTCTCTGTCTTCCTTCAAACTAAGAGATTAAAATCGCTTCATATCCTTCTTTCTACGAACTAATTCTTTCTTCCTGTACCATCTCCTTATATGCAATTTTTCTTCTATATATTACCACGACTGAATTAAGTACTTCTATGAATCCGGCGTTCATCTTTTTGCGCTAATGCGGTATGGCAACTTGGACCGATGCATATATGTGCCTGGTCCTACGTTGCAGCTGACTGGCTCCAAACGTTTAGACCATTGTGACAACTAACTAATTAAGCGTAACCAATATAACAATTTTTACAACATTAAAATCCAAAGACCATGTTAATATGCCAAAGTTAGCTGCCAACACTGATAATGTCAAATGAATTCTCACTTCCTTATAATTATGGATGAAACACTTCATTGTGACAATTAGCAAGTAATTCAGGCGCATGCATCTGAAAAAAAACTATCTGTGCATGCCCTAAAAGTCATCAAATTGTTAACACATTAATTTGGACTAAGCAATCAAGATCTAGTCAGTCATAAACAACAAAGATCTGAGTCGGTTCACGTCGCCACATTGGAAATCAAGTGGGAATATAAATAAGAATTCATTCGAATTAAAGAGTAAGAACAACTTATAAGTAGCTTTTATAACCAGTTGGGATTTTACTCTTAAACAAGGAAAAACGAATATGCAAGAAAAACCATCAAAATTTATGAATACCTTACCCTACATAATTTGGCAAATGATGCTGTTGTATCAACCAGGTGTTCAGGGAGATTTTCACCAAAATTTCTTAGCCATGTTGCGTATTCACTATGAGAAGCATCTGACAATCGGTCTCTAAAAATAACACTAACTAAACAATTAACAAGTTCTGTTTGATTGTTCCCCAAAACTGACTCAGCCCAGAAAAGGTGATCTTGGAGATGTTCGCGTAAACCATCCAAGGAGGATGAAGTAATGTGGCCGCAGCTTTGAGTATCAGGATGCTCATTGACCTCATTATGAATAGCTGTAATAATATCACTTAATAACCCAATGGATACACTTCGACCACGTGATGCGCTATTCACGGGATACTTTTGATCATTTACATCTGAAGAATACATGAAATAACAGAGAGAATATTGAGAAAAACTACTTAACGGATAAAATATTTGGGGTTTTGTCAAAAACCACTCCACAGGAAGTACTCAAACGTATAATCAATAATACGATAAACTCACATTCGCAGGCAGCCATTAAATTTGATGATGACTGGGAAATCCTGGACCATACTGTCTTAATCAAACCATCTATGAGTACACTGAAGATTTGAAATACCCCTGTAAGTTGTGATTGATCGATTTCACTAGATACCCAAGATGGCTTCGTTTGAGGAAAAACTCCTACATGATAAGACAGAGATTGAGAGAATACAATTAAAAAAGTATACGAATCTAATGAAATATATTTCCGAGAATCATAAGTGCAAAAATAATGATAATCGACTCAGAAAGTAACAACGGTGCGAGATGACAGGCTGGTATCATTAATGTATTAATACTTAGTAAACTAAAATCTAGAGTTTATTGATTCCTTCGCTTTTTAAAGTATGATTAACATCCTAATACTGCGGCTAACCAACTTACCTATCTCAATAAACGATTGAAACTGAGGTCCACTATCTACCATGTGATAAGAGAGAAAGACAACATCTTATGACTGTAACAAGAACAATCACTTAGTTGGTCACAGACAACATAAAACCTAAGACAAGTGTGTATCAGTTCGGGTTGCTATACATCACATCAGTAAAGTGTTAAGGTAAATTAACACGATATGAAGCGGAGGTACAATAATATAAACTATAATAAGAAGTTAAAATGATAAATGTAGTTCAACAAATACAAATAAAATTGAATATCGAAAAATGTGAAGTAATACTAAACTGAAAATTCAAAGTAGATAAATGAATGTAACTAAGTGATTATAACGAGTTTTGGAGAAATCATATAAAGGTTATGGGGGATTTCAGTGTGCATCGAGGAAAATATCATGAAATTTGTGAAGTGTAAGTTATCTATAACATCGGAAATCAACAGGATCATACTAAAATCAGATATTCACCTCAAAATCAGTTGATAACGATCATTTAATTAACTGTGTTGTACTAAGTTATCATTGATGATTGTAAGCTGTAAAAACCTTCATATTAGTAATTATAACTCTTGATGAAATAATTTTCTAATGAACTTTGATTTATTGATTTTTTTTTTAAACTACAAAAAGTTATGATAAGGAAATTTCTGTTCACAATGTTGAACAATCCGGATTGGAATACATCCAAAAACTATCCATTCAACACATAATTATGAAGCAGAACTATTACAGTTTACAGATTAATCTTACTTGGAGTACTATGCGTCGTTGATCCACTAGTTGTAGTTGCTGTTGAAGTTGCACTTCCTGCTAAATTTGTCACAGGATGGGATGGATTCATTGAGAATTGTATGGGTGACGATGAAACAAGCAGATTGAATGGTGAGGGACCGGGAGTGAAATTATCGGTACTCACAGCAGAAATTGCGGCATTAGTGGCGGCGGATACAAGAGATAAAAGGTGTTGAGGCAGACTGATTCCTGAACCAAAGGAAAATGATCCAGGAGGTCTAGTACCTGCAGATCCAGTGTTTACTGTAGGTGGATTACTTGGGGCACTCGGCTATAAAATTACAAAAGTGGATATTACGCCAGTGAAAACGTGGAAAAAGACCATGCAAAATTAAAACAAAGCATATAGTTAGTTTGTAGCAGGATTCGTTAAGTTTAACTATAAGAAACCGTGATCGATAAACATAAGTGACATATTACAAATATATTATTTATTTATAACAATCTACCCGGTGCTCAATTTATTTGAAATTATCAAGTCAAGCCTTGATAATGATACCTACAAGTGACATAATTTTGTGTTGTCATTAAAACAGTATATATATATATATATATATAGCATGTACTAAACATTGTTTCTGATACGTTGAAATGCCGGTTTTTAAAATTTTTTGGTGCCACACTCAATAGAGACGTAATTCAAACGTGTTTCTTGGTTTGAGGGAGAGTTATTTATAACCCGGTAAGAAAACTTACGATAAGTGTCCACTGATTCTCCGTCATTCGCTTTCTAAAAAATAATTGCTTTGGCTAAATAAAATGCAAATTATACATAAATATCAATAATAACAGGCTTACTGGTGCACATTCTGCAAACGAAAAAGAAACTTGCGACGGCAAACCAGATCTTGTTTGGTTGTCTAAACTTGTAGGATCTACACTTGCTTGTGAACGACCCAGACGACTAATATTAACACCATGTGGTGTGACGATATCATTAATTGGTGTAAGTGGTGGTGGTTCTGGCAAATTGTATGACGTAGAAACTCTATGACTAACTTCACGTGAAAAGTGACGAGAATTGCATGCCAAAAAAGGATCAACTGAGTCGATTACCGTAAGTGGAGGGAGTGATGGGCGAGGAACCATAGTTACGTTAGTATGAGTAGTTGGTAGTGGATCACTGGAAGTAGTCACAGTGCGCGTAGTAGATGGTATTGACACAACACTAGTAGGAGCACTTGTTGCAGTTACTGGAGATGAAAGTGATGCTAAAAATGGAGCGGCTGGGAGACTAAATGTGTTCACAGATATTATTGGAATGTCGAAACGGTGGATAATAGCGGTGCGTCCGTTTCCCAAAGAGGTTGTCGTTGTAGTCATCGCAGGGTTAGGTGTATCAGATGAACTCGTTACAGCAGGAGCTACAAAAAAAAAGAATTTCATTATTAAATGGTGGTATAAATCTGTAATAAAGAGTAACGACATAAAATTAAAAATTAGGAAACTCATTAATAATAGTGAAACTGATAATTACTTAAAAAGACTTACCATTTTCCATCTGAAGGTTACTAGCGCGGTTTACATTAGACGCCGATCGACTTCGGATACTAAAATGGAAAAGTATAGATTGAACCAGAATATAACTTCGAAGGATGATTGTTATAACTATATCGATGGTCCGATACCATTAATTAAATCGATTTGTGCTCATTTCAGGAAACAATAAATGCGCATGGATAACGTTAAATTAGCAGTTTTATATTTGGGATTGTATTAATTGACAATGAACATAAAACTGTCGAAACACATTTAGTTCAATAGGCATTCAATCTTTTAGACCAAATACATAACATACTCTGATTTCTGAATATACAAATGATAGAACCATGAATGTAATTATCAAACGAAATCATAAAACTATTGTAATAATTACCGTGAAGTTGTGGAGCCAACATTGGAAACAGGATGTTCGGATCTAATAATCCGTGGTTCTTGTCCGTCTCCAGTTGCCACAATCGTAAGATCAGGTGGTTCAACGCTGATCCGCGCACGTATTCGACGTCTATCAGTATCCGAAACACTTAAAACCCGTTGAGTACATCGTTTGACTTGAGGAACTGGCTTTGGTTCTTTCACAGGATCACTTGTGATGTCAATTAAAGTATTTGCGTCAGGATCCTGTCTTTGAGGTTCATTACTTGTTGATGTTTTAGATTCCGAGTTACTAGTCTGAGAAGCAGAAACGGTACTATTGCCTTGTTGTGTCTCCCGTTCTGTCATAGTAATTACATTGAAATCGGATATCAAATGAAGCATATGGGCGTTTAAGTGTAGTAAACGGCTTACTTGAGAAAACAGCTATAGAAGAAATAAAACATAGATCAGATTGTATGTAGCCCAAAGTATAGCTAAGAAAAATGAACAATCAAATAACCCTAGTCTGTTTCAAAAATTAGTACAAATCAAAAAAGTCTATAAATACAGTCATAAAGTTGTTTTCTTGTCGGCAAATATAGTAGACGCTAAAAAAGTCTAAATACAATCATATTATTATAATGTAGTGAACGAGAACACAAACAGAGACAACTAAATGTGATTGAACACAAAATTACAGGATGTCTTAGTAAAATCTGGGAACCATACAGTAAAATTGTTCATTTGCAAAATATCAATCAATTGTTTCAGATCTCATTGTCCTTTCGTTACCACCCCAATCATTCTCCGTTCTTGTTCTCTTTTGTTCGATTACTTAACCTTTTGTCGCCAGGTAATTCAGTTTCGATTGATGATGCATACTACTGATATCAGTAGCACTGTAGTGAACAGAACACTAGTGGGGAACAATCGAATGTATTTGACAACAAATTACAGAACTTGTTAATAAAATCTAGTAACCATATAGTAAATGCTCAATTTGCAAAATGTCCATCAATTGTCTCAAAATGACTCAGACTTCATTGTTCTTGCATTTTCATACAAATTGCATTGTCTTCATTCATTGCTGTTCGATCTGCTTGTCTCTCTGCTGCCAGACATTCTGTTCACGACTAATATCATATACTACTTGTATCTACATAAGTAGCACACACCACAGCACCATATTCACTCACAGCACGGAAAAGTTAGTATTGGAATACAACTATTATCAAAAGCAATTCAGTCAGCAGCAATTAATAAATAAAATACTTCACTTTTTACGAACTCACTGAAAGAATCAGGCATCACATCCTTCGTATTTATTTTAGGAAATAGGAATCTTGTTAAAGTGGTAGTAGAATATAACTCCAAAAGGACTACGCAGACAAACTTTAGTACAACAAAATCTTAGTCACTCAACTTACACGTGGATGCCAGTTCGACACTTGAGTTGTTCTCCTCTTAGTTTCAATATCTTGTGATTTGTGACCAACTTCTAATGTGGAAGAGTCTTCAGCAGTGGAGCAGACTTCAGATGTTGTCCCAACGATCTTACTTTCATTATGCAACATTTCTCCCCACTGGTCCAACTGGGGTTCTATTGAGTGCCACAGTTGACGATATCTGCTAAGCATATCTGCTAACAAAGCCAAAGAAGGTTCTGGTGTGGAATTTATTGAATTATCTACAAATTCTGTGTTATTTTCTCCCTCAGCTTTTGGTTGCTCATCATTATTAAGATTTTCGATTTCATCTGGGGAAATTTTATCATATTCATCCGTGTCCACTAACATGGGTGATGATTCTCGTTTGGACGCTACATAAGAAGAGCGATTCACTAAAGTACTCACATAATGGGTATTATTACATAAAATAACACATCCGAATCGAAAAACAATCAAAACCAGCATAACTGCACTGATATATATATATATATATATATATATATATATATATATATATATATATATATATTTATATAATTTATTTGGAATTCTTTGATCAGGTATAAAGACAACTGTTTAAAATGTCTTATCTGAAAAAAACTAAGAGAAAATTAGGCAAATGCAGACGTTTTTGCTGGGAATGTGAAATTCCTAAATACAAGATATGAAGATCAATCTTAAAATTCGAATAATTGGTTTAAGGTGATTTTCACATGGCAAGCTTTCGTTATGTTTGTTTATTTAGTGAATTTTGTTCAATAGCTTTTCATGTATTTTCATTTGTATCGACTATTCAGTATGCAGTAAGCTACTTGATTTCTAATGCATTATTCCTTGTGTTGATTAATTCCCTGGGATTTTGTGTTTTATGACAACTGCTCAGTTTGATGAACTGTAATTAATGATAGAATAATCAATGCACAAGTGAATAAACTTGGATGTAAATTGATTATAGAGTTTTTATTACGAATGATTCTGAACAAACATGGACTTTTAACTCTAGTTGGTGGATAGGAAAGAAAATGAAAAGTCTCGTTGATCGTATTGAAGTTGCAGTTGAGAATAATCAGCTTAGCGCACAATTGTGTCAGTTTTATAATATCCTTGTAGCGAATAGTTTAAAGGTTGTGTGAAGAAAATTTTCTTTTCAATACTCTCACGAATCTGCGAAATAAACTCAAGTAAGAATCATTTCAGGAAACACGTACGTTTGTACAACATCTATTAGCCCCCAAATGCCCTGGTATGGCCGAGAGTGGGGAGAGTCCACTCTCCCTCTCGAAATACTCTCGCACGGCCACGCGTATATAGACTCTGCCAGCGAAGTCCTACTCACTGCATTCTCGTGGCGGAGGTGTTGTTTACGAAAATGAGAGGACGAAAAGCGAATGTCCGGCGCTTTAACCGGATCTCAAACCAATGGTGCACATGGGCTCCAGTATCCTGAAGGAACAAATGGCGTATGAACCAACTTTTGGTAACCGGCTTCCATGGGACTGTATCTCCTCACGATGCTCCACTGCCTTGTGGACTAGACCTTAAGGTGAAAGGCTCGGGGTGTGACCCCCTAAGAAAACCACCTGCTTCGATTTGGGCACACGGGCAGAATTTCAGCCCACACACTAAAACTATGATGAACTATCTGCTTATAGAAAATATTCGTTTCTCTCCGACTAACATTGAAATGACTGGCATTATTATTATTATTATTATTATTATTATTATTATTATTATTATTATTATTATTTACTACGTCATTTATTCACTATCTCCTATTTCTACTTTTTGTCTCCGTTTCGACTCAGACAGCAGCTCGCCTATGGTGAAAATTCAGTTTTATCTAAATGTTCTCGAGTCACTGCCTCGTTGAAAATTGTATGTTACTACCGAATATGAGTACTGAAGCCGTCTTTCTGAAACCACGTGCACCATTCAAACTGGCTGCCTTCAACGTTCGCACACTCATGCAGGTCGGACAACAGATAGGGCTGGCTATGTCTTTGGAAAGTCTTAATATTGATGTGTGTTGTCTATCCGAGACCCGTATTCAAGACTCTGGTGAAGTACTACAAGTTCGCTCTCCATCTGTCGCTTCAAAAAGCTTGTTTTACGTGCGTTTATCCGGGGACCCTGTGGCATCTTCGTCTGGTCTTGCTGGCGTTGGTGTCGCACTAAGCGCAAGAGCTGAGGCAGCACTAGTCGACTGGATCCCCATTAACAGTCGGTTATGTGTTGTTAGATTAGAAAGTTCCATCAAAGTGAGAAGAAATCGGCGTGAGAAACGATGTCTTTTCGTCATCTCCGCCCATGTCCCGACAGATTGCAGCCCGGATGCAATCAAGGATGAGTTCTACCACCAGTTAACTGTTCTTCTCCAGAAGGTGCGTTCGACAGATATTGTAGTACTAGCCGGAGACTTGAATGCTCAGGTCGGGCGTCTAGGCACAGAAGAGAGTCATTTAGGTGGCCGATGGGGACTTGTTGGTCGCAGGACAGATAACGGGGACCGTATACTGCAACTTTGCACAGATCACAACCTGTTTCTGGCTAGCACTAACTTTCGGCACAGTCATCGCCGATGTGCCACCTGGCGTCCCCCTTCTGCATCTCAAGCCTGGACTCAGATTGATCACATCGCGATCAGCTACCGCTGGCGTGGTTGTGTACAAGACTGCCGCTCCTTTTGCAGTACGTATTTGGACTCTGATCATGCCCTGGTTTGCGCCAGGTTCCTTACAACTGATTGAAGCCCGTCGGTCTACTCCGGATGACCGTGAGTTTGAACACAAACAAAGGATGTTACGCAGTGAAATTGGACAAAGCTTGCGTAAGGACCGAGAAGCCTGGTGGTCGTAGCTTGCTAATGGGCTTGAAGCAGCAGCTGCATCTGGTAACTACCGGAAGCTCTTCCAACTCATCCGAGCCACTGGCAGCAAGAAGTTTGGTGTGAGCGAAACAATCTGCGACGATGATGGAACGCCAATCACTAACATCCATCGACGTCTTGGACGATGGGCAGAATTCTTCGAAGGGCAGTTCAACTGACCTGCTGCTCCGGCAACATCGGTCAGACTGTCCTGCCCTCCATGGTCGGTGAAGACTGATCCACAAAATGAGGCGGAAGTCCGCAAGGAACTCCAACTCTTGAAACGTTACAAATCACCGGGCCCAGATGACTTACCTCCGGCTCTTTTTAAAGATGGTGGTGACTTTCTGGCTAAAGAACTGACGACGTTGTTTACAAAGGTCTGGGAACTAGAGAGTGTATCAACGTCATAGAATAAGTCGATAGTTATCCCTATCTTTAAAAAGGGTTCACGTCGTTCCTGTAACAACTATCGTTGGATAAGTCTACCTCCGATCGCGTCCAAGCTATTGGTTTCCGTCATACTTCGTAGGTTGTTCAAAACCCGAGAAGGATTGACTCACGAGGAGCAGGCTGGGTTTCGTTCTGGTCGAGGATGTATTGATCATATCTTCACCCTCCGCCAAGTGTTAGAACACCGCCATACTTATCAAAGGCCAACAATCGTAGTGTTTCTTGATATCAGGGCTGCCTTCGATTCGTTGGACAGAACTGTTCTCTGGGATTGTCTATTGAAGAAGTGTGTGCCTGAGAAGTTTATTAACATCCTAATAGCCCTATATACAAACACCTCAGGCAGAGTGAGGGCATACAACCACCTTTCTCCACTATTCCATTCGAGCAGTGGGGTTAGGCAGGGTTGCCCAATCTCACCATTCCTCTTCAACTTTGCCATCGATGACATTCAAGAAACAGCTCTGATGGATGTAAGTAATGGTGGTGTGGATCTGTTGCCTGGATAAAGACTCCTCGACCTTGATTATGCGGATGATATTGTCTTACTGTGCGATAATGCCCAAGCCATGCAATCCGCACTAAATCAGTTGGCAATCAGTGTCCGTAGGTATGGTATGTGCTTTGCACCTTCGAAGTGCAAAGTTCTTCTACAAGACTGGTAGGATTCTAATCTTGTACTCACTCTGGATGGTGAGCAGATAGAAGTAGTCGAGAAGTTCGTGTATCTAGGTAGCTGCATAAGTGCTGGTGGTGGTGTGAGTGATGAGATCAATGCACGTATAGTGAAAGCCAGAGCGGCTTATGCCAATCTGGGCCATCTTTGGCGCCTTCGTGATGTTAGTCTATCTGTAAAAGGTCGGATCTACAACGCGACGGTGAGAGAAGTTTTGCTCTATGCTTGTGAAACCTGGCCTCTCCGAGTTGAGGATGTTAGACGACTCTCTGTGTTCGATCATCGTTGTCTCCGAAGGATTGCTGGCATCCAGTGGCAACACCATGTCAGTAATGCAGAGGTTCGGCATCGAGTGTTCGGTCACAGAGACGATAATGAAATTGGTGTCACCATCTTGAAACACCGACTTCGGTGGCTTGGACATGTTCTACGAATGTCGTCCCAGAGAATTCCACGTCGTGCATTATTTGCCGACTCTGGGACTGGTTGGAAAAAGTGGGGAGGTGGTCAGTGTATGACATGGTGTCGTGGTATGAAAGAAAGCTGCAAAGGGCTGGTTTCTGTTGGTCCTTCACAACTCCCTGGTTGGGGTCCGAGAGACGGTGTAACGCAGTGGCTAAAGACGTAATCAGATATGGCTCAGAATAGAAGCCAGTGGCGATTGTGCTGTAACCTTCTTTTACTTTCTTCATAAGAAGTGGTTGTATCTTCCTTAACTGAAAGATCTCTTCTGATTGTACCTTTCCGTTTCCCCCACCATTGTTCTCTCTCTCTCCCTTTTTTTTATAATTCCCCACGTTCATTACTTTTTTTTTCTCTTTTCTCCTTCTCTTCAAATTATCATTGTTTTGTGTGGCGCATATATATTTGGTGCCCCCCCTGTACCAATATTTATGTGTTCAAATAAATAAATGAATATATAAATGATAGTTGATGGTAATACTTCGACAGTCAAACTACGATAACAGTGACTATAATTCGCGGAAAATTTACTGATGGAATGTCAATCACATTGGATGAGTGGAAAATATTTATTGTAGTCAATACACCTAAAGATGAAACCCATCACATTACATTATTAAAACCTCACTGGTGAACCGAAATGTGAGTATTGTTCAAGCTATGGATTCATGAAACAGTGATGGATGAAAATCTCAGCCGTACAGTCGCTGAAAACAATGACACAAGTGTCGGTGGAGAATCTAGGAATTACTGGTATTTTGGGTTTATTTAAACCATGCCCACTAAAATTTCCACAGATTTCTTCGATTTCCCAATATTTAACCCACTCTGTGTAAAAATATTTTGCAGGCCATCCGTAAGATCATTATAAGACATGTCAGTTATTTCGCCAAATGAGGGGTTATCGATCAACCACACAGAATCATTCTATTTGTGGTTCCGAAGATTCGAGGCGTGTATTAATATCGAAAACACTTCAATACTAAAAACACGTACACACGGATTGGTAACTAAAATTCTAAAACTCATAAGATAAGACAGACCACTTCGAGAAAAATAACTTTAATGAACATTGGTCACTGACAAATCATAACTACTCACTATAAGATTTAGTTTCCAATATCTGCTGGATTTACTGACCTCTATGCATACAAAGATATTCCAGTCAGTCTACATATAACAAAGTTATGCATGTTGTACTACCTTATATTTAAGTAATTAATCTCTGCAGGTGACTAAGTGCTATGTTTGGCTATTGTAGACACATGAAACTTGGACTACAATATAATGAACAATTAAAAAACTGATACTTTTTAGTAGCACTTAAAAATATACTTAGACATCACAGAATGTGCCATATACTTAATATAAGACGATTACGTAACAGAGAAACTACCATCTCTCTCTCCATATATATATATATATATATATATATATATATATATATATATATACCATTAAGTCGGACAAGAGTAATTTTGCTTTATAACTGCATAAAGTACTTATTTGTCGGTCGTTGTGAATACCATGATTTCTAAAAAAACATATATCGCCGGTTATTTATGGTGAACTTTATTTCAAAGTAATGAGTGTGGACTTTAAATAAACGAACAGTAACATTGAATTTGGCGTCCTAAGCATTCTAATACATTATCCCATCCTTTATCTAAACGTAGAACAAGATATATCAGCAACCACACACATGATTTCATGAATGCTTAACTCGGACATCCAGATTTAGTGAAACTAATCTCGGACTTACTTTCATTTACAATATCACAAGTGTTAATAATATCAACCTTCTGAATGTCATGTTGGTTTGTAGAATGAGATGTGGAAGGAGACGGGTCAGTTTCTGATGGTTTTACCTTGTTATCATGAGAGTCTTTATAAGATATTTGGGATATTTTTTGAGTAAGGCGAGTGGCTTGGCGATGCAATTTGTTGAAAGCATTTTCTCGTAAGGTTATTAAAGAATGATCATGAAGGGAATCTCCAGAAAGATCACCATCACGAGAGAGAGAGAGGCTAAAAAAGCGAATCAAGTGAACTGGAAATTATTAAACAGTATAATCTTTGATATCAAAGCATTAAACATCGTACAAACAAAAATTACAGATTTGACTAAGAAAAGCCGGTATCACACTAAAATTAGAAACTGAGAGGTCAAGACAATGAAAATTTATAATCGGAGGTATAAGTTTCGGCAGGTAGTGTATTATCAAAGAAATCCAAACCAAACTTTTCACACTTATAAAATATGATAGCGGGAAACCAGCAACTGATCTCAGTCCAAGAGATCCCGACAATTGTGAATACGTTTGTATGTATAAGCGACTAATGAGACGACCTATACATTTATTTATTTTTTATTTTAACACATAGATATTGGTAAAACGAGGCACCAAATACATATGCGCCACGCAAATCTCATTTGATGTGTGTGGGCTGAGATTCTGCCCGGGTGCCCAAATCGAAGCAGGTGGTTTTCTTAGGGGGCCACACCCCGAGCCTTTCACCTTAAGGTCTAGTCCACAAGGCAGTGGAGCATCGTGAGGAGATACAGTCCCATGGAAGCCGGTTACCAAAAGTTGGTTCATACGCCATTTGTTCCTTCAGGATACTGGAGCCCATGTGCACCATTGGTTTGAGATCCGGTTAAAGCGCCGGACATTCGCTTTTCGTCCTCTCATTTTCGTAAACAACACCTCCGCCACGAGAATGCAGTGAGTAGGACTTCGCTGGCAGAGTCTATATACGCGTGGCCATGTGAGAGCATTTTGAGAGGGAGAGTGGACTCTCCCCACTCTCGGTCACACCAGGGCATTCGGGGGCTATAGCTTTATAGAATCTTTGTGAATGATGAAAGCTTCTAACAAGAAATATTAGTTATGTTCAGCTTTGTGTGCGAGACTATAATCTATGGGCGAACCAATCAGGTTTAGGATAACAGGTCTTGGGTTTTGGCGCTAAATTCACTCACCCATTTGGCCAAATAGCGTCTTGGCATTTTAGCTGATGTTAGTTCGTGATAAAAACCATAAATCTAATTTCTAACCCTAACTATCAACTGTAAAACATAACCCTTATTCATTAAACTGCTTTATAACCCCCATTTTGCCTTAGTAAGTATGTAAACACTCAAAGTCATTTTAACGTTGCTCAAAGGTCATCCATAAATTATAGTTTCGCCCTATAAGGTATTAATAGTAACAACAACATCTAAATAACTCATTTATAAACGTGCAAATAATGACTGAGTTGCACGCTCTACAGTGAGTGTTTCATACATACACATTTCTCCTATTTGGCTCTCGTGCATCATATCTCATCAACGTATCAAGAGCTACTAATAATTGGAAAGGATAAATGAACTCTGTAAAGCTTTACGATGTCACGCCAGAAAATAAAAACTAACGGATCCAAATAAATCATATTATAAAAGACTTTTCCATCAAGATTTTAATGGATAACTGGATTGTAAACACTTGTCTAAAGATAGTTAGTTTATGGAACTAGAATATTAAATGAAAGCAGTTGCATATGTTTACTTATTAGAGAACTACTAAATGAGACCCGATACACCAATCTATATAATTCCTCCCTAAGGGTTTTGACAGTTAATGGCTCAAAGACATGCAAAGTTCTTGACTTGAATGCTATCAAGGCACAATACATAAATGTTGAGATATATGGTACATTGATTTAAAAGATTATGACTACAAAACAGTAGGTCTTCAGACAAACATACTTAGTTGCTCTGCTCAGCTCGCTAACACCACTCAGTATTCCAGAGGTAATGTCTTGTATAGCTTGCTGCATGCTTATACCTCCAAACGTAAATCCGCCTAGGCCAGAACCACCCATGTTAGCTGTTGAGTCAGCTGTTGCAGTTCCAGAAGATGATTGTTCTCTGGTAGTTGGAGGAGGCCTGACAACAAGATGTACCACTTTACCTTGAATACCTGAATATAAAGAAAACTGAATTAATCAATATCATTATTTTCCTAGAATTTCAAACACCACCTACGTGAACCACTCCATAAAACGTACAAAACGTGTCCCATAAAGAAATCAGTATGGTTTTGATGGAGTAATAGCCCGTGAAAGTGACGAGATCTTGCAGTCTACAATAAAAAACACTGAGGACGCAGTAGACTGAGTCCCAGTGAAACAACCAGTCAGAATAGACAGTCGGACGCCTGAGAAGAGACATTAGGCCAACTTTACTGGGACGTGTTGACCGTGAAACGTCCCTTTTATATAACGGTTATACCCTGTGATCTTGCCTCATCAAAGCAGAAAGGGATTTTAAATGTCAATCATAAAACAACAAGAACCGCCCACAAAAAGCTGGTATCTAACTGGGGCTGTGCAGCTGTCATTTGGGATTTGCAGGCACGCTGCTAGTTTGTCAAGACCACTCCTGACAGTCTACTTTCCAGGCTTCTGAAGAACATGACTTACATTGTTGTCAACCATAAACCATGAAGTGCCCATTGATACTTATTTTTATTAAAGATCTCGTTTATTTCCAGGCGACTACTAACCTCGATTAACATGCAAACCTTACACAGCTATTTTACACCATTCATGATGCATGAAACCAACAATCATTTTGTGAATTGACGTCAAGTCTTGGTTTGATTACCCTGTTTTCTTACTATTTAATACTTCAGTCAGCGCGCAGTGTCACAATAGGTGATTAATATATTTAACAAATGCTTAGGTCGCCTTAGTGCGCAAAGGGCTACAGTTTTACCAATTAAGTTACTATACTCACCTAATTCCCTACATCTAACCTCATCACTGTCTAAGATCACGATTTACAACCATGAATTAAGGCCAAGCAGACTGTTACTACTTTTGTTCCAATATTGTCAGACGCCAAATATAGCTAACTGCACTTCCGAAATAAATGACGTTATCAACGTACTAGAATGCTTCGCTAGGCGTCCTAAAGATAGCTTTGTATAATGCTCCTATAACAATAGTTGGGGAGATAAAGGTATGGACGCGTATATGAACTTGTTGGGTGAGACTATAATTTATGGACGACCTTTATGGAGACTTCTGGAGACTGGTATTTTACTAATACGTATGGTAATTCACAAAGATAAACTTCTACTCAAATGGACTAGACAATGTTAAAGAAGTCGTACATCTATCATAGTGTTCGTTTGATATCTGCTAAGTTACGAGTCGAAATTCGATTAGCTAAGTGTCCAACGGAATTAAAATGAAGAATATTTTCATACCGGTAAAACGATTTTGTTGCAATAAAACTATCAAATGAATAAAAAGTAGTCAGAAACTTGCCACATTCCAACAGAGTTTGTTCATTGTTGAGAACCCTTCCTTGGAAAATAAGCCGTTGTTGATCAGCTGCGATGTTCTATAAAATGGGTAGAATTTTGAAAAACGACTAACCAACTTCTGTTCGATTTCTTTTTTGAAATTTTCGATATTCATGGACTAGAAACGAGTCAGGCAAAAGAGAAGTACTTACCTCATTTTCTATATGGAATACAGAGTCTCTTCCATCAAGCGTCTTCACTGTCACGTCAAACATTTTCAGGAGTAAAAGACGTCGGTCAAAAAGCTGGCGGGACCAAAACTCTGAACCCCGTTGATACATTTAAACAACAACCAAATAAATGTGCAGGATTTAGTCCGACTGATCACATACCTTTCCCATATATACTGTATGTTAAGTATTCACAGAGTCTTCCTTTTAAAGTGGACATGTAAGCTTCATTGTTTTATTAAACCTGAGTACCCACAATTTTTGGGAAGAACAGGAAGAAAGTATTGAGTGTAAGAACATGTGTCCATAGTAATCTGTTTGGTTATCATGTAATAGTGACACAAGCAAAGTTGGCAGCAGATGAACATTGCATTCGCCAGAAGTACTATAATGGGAAAATTTTGTGGTTATTATAACTATGATGAAAAAGTTATATTTCTTTTCTGTTTACGAATTCTTTGTATAATCGCACTCATACTCAAACTGTTTGCTTTTACCATTTATGAGTTAACATTATTAATTAACTTAATGGAAACCACTTGGCTTTTGGTGTCTAGTTAAATACGACCAACGTCGTTCCTTTATATCTTTTACTGGCCACTACTTGTTATTGATTAGTACAATCGTGTCGCGATATCTTTTTATGCTATTCTACACTACGTTATTGAAATTTTAGTTTTCTTCTTCACATTTATATCAGCCATACCGTAGGATATTTCATAAACGAGTGAATTTTATTTACTCTGGTTACTCCAGAAGCGACTCTCATGCAGCAATCACTGTATAGCTGCTTTCATTATTTTGTCATTCAACTAACAGCTTTGCTCCACATGTTGTCTTTTTACCGTTTTCAAATTTCGCTTTACCGAAATAATGTTTGTTTTCTCATGTGATTGTTTGTTTTTGTTATATTTTCGCTCTTACGATAATAACCCAGCTATTCCTATTGCTTAGTATTCACGGTCACAGATTCACTCGACAAGGCCCCAAATCAGAACACGATTGAGCAGGAAGGAGATTATATTCCAAATAACAAGGTTAGGTGGAAGCAAGAAGCAAAACAGGAAAACCGTTGGTATATTTATAGCTTTCTACATAAGAAGATTCTAGAGTTTTCTCCATGTGTCGACTAGCGCTGATTGGATAAGAATCAGCCAATCAGCATGCGCCAAAGGAATCGTGCATTGAGCATGCTTAAATCCAATCTATGTCTCACTAACAGTTTTGCGTATAGTCATACTTTGAATAATTTCTCGCATAGGTCCTTTGCGAAACTTGTTCTGAAGTCAAACTATTAAATCAGTATATAACAATATGTTTAGCAACCTAGTGGAAGTTTAATAAGTACTCCTTTCATGTTATTGCCAACTAGATTCAGAAATTTAGATTTAGATGCAAAACAACTAAACTGGACTGTAGCGGAATATGAATCCCAAAACAAATAATTCAGTATGTCTTCAATATTTGATACTAACCTCAATAGTTTTACCTAACATACCTAGCTGTGGGCATGTAGTGGCATTAAGCTCTAACTACACAATCCTTTAAGCTGAACACTAGACAGCTGGGAAAGTAGATATTTAATATTTAACGCAGAGAAAAACCCAACGATGAAGAAGGTAAGAACAATGAATAAAGTGGATTCGAATTGATCGGACGGTGTGTCTCGGCCTTGCAGGCCCGGTTCCTGCTGAATCTTGCCTTATATATTTTATTCATATTAAATATATTGTTCTATCTCCAGTCTCAATGTCTTCTTCATCATATATTAGTGATTGTTACGATGCTATGAGTTGGTGTAGACAATTATGTGACTTCCACGTAAGATCTTATAGATCAGGCAGTTACGTCATGACAACTCCACAATTTTAGGATCATATCTATTATTAAAGCAGTGCTAATATCATAGTGGACCATAATTATACAGGCACTCTAAACACATACGCACCATACCACGGATGGGTACGCCGCGCTACTCATTTCTTACAACCGTTAGCCAGCCCACATTAAGCGCTTTCCCGTTTACTGATAGTTTTTCAAATATATCTTAGAGCCTCTTCACTTCCGACTTGACTTGGTTGGCACACCTCGATTAAACAAGTGTTATGTGTGAAGACGTTGTCTAATTCTGAATGTCTGAGGCATAATTAGTGGTGAGACCGATGTGATCCGGTTACACCAGACAGTAAACTGTGAGTCTGTTATTTGTTGGAACACTATATGTCCTTTTTTAACCAATGGTTTTACATATTATGACATTGCTTTCATATATTCGTGTATTTTTTCTCGTCCATTGGTATATTTTATCTTCGTCATGACGAAACACATACTTAAGTTGTTTAAGACTAATACTCTTTGGCCTCCCACATTTCAACTGGTGCCATTCTAACCCGAGAATGACGTAAATTTGTTCTGTTATACATAAGCTGGCTTTAACGAACACGGCGTGACAAATGCATTTTCGCAATTCATCACATTCATTACACTGTCGCGAGATCTTAACGGGTGCTTCACACCTAGTATGCTTACCAGTGATGTATCAAAACCTTACGAAGCTGTAAAAAGGCTATTTTAAGCGTGGAGACCCGACCGACTGACTAAGGTTAGATCGACTTTTGTACAACATCGAGATGAAACACGGCTAAGCAAAAGAAACGTTGCTACGTATAAGAGAGTTCATCGGTCAGTGAACCTTTGACGAGGGTCTGTTTGGACAATTTACTTGCCTAACTTTCCCTTGCAGGTGCGGATAGTCCTCATCCAATTTCAAAATAACGCAGTATGCGAACTAGCTGCATCTGCCGATCGGATTCTGGAGATCACCGTAACCCTCAGTATCGAAGTTTGTTCTAGCAAAGAAAAAGCCTAAGGCGACACAAAATGACATCGCGGAATTTCGTCACACTCTGACTCCTTGTCTGGGTGTTCATCGTAGTCGTAGACACCTTTCGAAGAAGCCCGTTACGACGAAGATCTGTCTCTAGACCCCGAGAGATAGATATTTTTTATTGGTGATGGTATCACAACAAATATGCCGATTTTTCTCAAAATTTCAGAAAACCTTTCAGTCGCTAAGTGTAAATTACACCTAGTGATCGTTAAGCATATAATTGGCTCATTTTATCAACGGATAGTCGGCACGTTCGCCAAACTGTATCAAATGCTATCAATATCACTCTGTTCAACAAGTAATATTACACATCACGTCAAGATAATAGGACCACCTATATTTCTATATGCTTGAAAAAGAGCTCCTGAAAGGTAAAATTTGGTCAGAACTGAATTCGTCCACATTAAGACCTTGGGAATTATTCTGCCATCAAACAGCCTGTGGACTTCTCTGATGCACACGGCCACTAAGGGAAACAGCAATGACTGGTGTTTATCTGGCTGTTTTCGGCGAATAAATAAGAAAAGCGCTCTCGATCGTTACTCCTTTCCGATATTCACGATCTAACAGCTACATTAAAATATACAAGGGTTTTTTCAAAAATTGATCTGGTTAAGGCATTCAACTAAATTCCCATGTCTGCAGACGGCATCCTTTTGACGGTTATCACCACCCCATGGGACTCCAGGAACTTTCGGGAGCGCCTTCCATTTAAAAATTACTACACGAAATTTCCAGAGATTCATTGATGACGCCTTTAAATATCTCACCTTCGTACATCCATGTGTAGATGATGGCTTTATCTCAATTCCAGACATACAATCTCATCTCCAGCACCCTCACCTTGTTTTCAAACGACTGAATAAACATGACGTTACTGTAATCACTCAGAAATGATAAATCGTAACGGACTTCTTAGATTTTCTCGGACACACTACTGATGCATGCGTCCTTTGAAAAGCTAAGTGGTGGCCAGTCTGGATTATTGACAACAGACCACAGTCAAGCAATTACACACTTTCAAATGTCTTTTAGCTTTTTGTCGACGGTTCACACCGAGTTGTGCGTCTCTCATCAGACTCTTAACCGACGAACGTTGTGAAAATACCAAACTCACCAATTTTGACGACAACACGAATAAAGCATTTTCCGTAGTTAAGGAAATGAACAACAAATTACCTATGTTCTCCTGACAGAACGTCAAAGCATGCATTAGTGTCATGGTTGATACATCCGACTCGGTTGCAACAGTATGTAAACAACAAATGACAACCTTCGTCATTAACCTTTAGAGGGTTTAAAGCCTGTGAATCGACGCAACGTCTTAAATACATTGCACTTGCTTTCTCATCCAGGTAATAGGGCAACCATCAACCTTCTAGTAAAAGGACTTCGTTGGTCTGGTATAAATGAAGACGTGAGGGAGTGTGTATGCTTCTGCGTAGGCTGTCAAAGAATCTTCTAAATCCTGAAAACACATTCTACGTCTTTCTATTTCCTAATCATTTTTCCGTCACATTGTTCAAAACATGTACTAAAGATTAGTAAGTGCTCTGAATTCAACTATCAGCGAATAAAATCTACATATTCAAACTGAAGTTCTTAAGTTCAGTTTCAGTGTATTAGTGGCACATCCAAATTCATGAGTGCCTGATCGCTGATATGAATTATCCTTAACTGAGAAAGCAGCCCATATAAACATTATCATGCACTTTTCCGCATAGCGAAAGGTTTTCTTCTATTTATGAAGATGCTGATGATAAAATTCTTGATGGTGTTACTAAACAACCTGATATCTTACCACTAAACGTGGATAAATCTACTGTACTACGGAAACTTCAGATTTCTAGCAGAAACAATTTCAGTACTTTCAGGCAGGTGAATAATTCGATAAGCACTTTTAATTTGTCATTGGGTTATAAATGCCATTTTTATGTAGTAAACTGCATCATCTTGGATCATGCACATTATCGTAAATGTGAGAAGTTTGGACGTACACACGAAGTTTGTAAAAATTTATAGTCATTTACTTTTAAAACACCTCTGGATTTGGGCAGAAAAATGGGATTGTTGTTGCTTACTGCCACCTGCAGCATCATTTCACATTTATTGCAGAACAAATTTCTAACACAGGCAAGTCCTACTCACTGTTGAT